TTTAAACTTAGTCAGGTACACGTTCGGTTAAAGGAGGGGGCCTCCCAAAATATAAAAACCACTCTTAGCTTATGGCTCTCTGATGCAGGCTGAAGTGGGACTTGGCCAGCTGGCCTCAGTTTGCTTCTGCCTGTTATTCTGTAGTGTGTGGAAATACACTAATGTGTTTGTCTGTTGAGCAGTTAGTAGTCATTTAGGTTGTTTTTAGTTTGGGCTATTGTGTATAATGCTGCGTGAGTATTTGTGTACAAACCTTTGTGTGCACAGATGTTTCTCTTTCTTTTGAGTAAATACCTAGGACTGGCATGCCTTCGTTGTCACACATTAGGTATATGTTTAAGTTTTTAAGAAATTGTCAGACTATTTTCCAAAATGGTTGCAGCATTTTACATTCCCATCAGCAATAAGAGAATTTCAGTTGTTCCACATGCTGTCAACACTTGGTATTCTCAGTTGTTAAGTTTAGACATTTTAATGTATCTATAATAGAATCTCATTGTACCTTTAATTTCCCTAATTTTTTAGGGAATGATTAGATGTCAGTCATATGTTCACATGCTTACTGTCAGTTTATATATCCTTTGCAAAGTGTTTCATTAAGTCTTTTGCCCATTTTAAAAACTACCTTCCTTGTCTTCTTATTAATGACTTTTAAAAGTTCTTTATGGGCCTCCCCGGTGGCGCAGCGGTTGAGCGCTGGGTTGCGAAACTGCCCGCAGCCTCTGCAGCGCCGGTTCCATCCCCTGCTGCTCCCCGACCACCGGAGGAGGGTCCCACATGGAGCGCAGACCTCTCCTGCCGCCCGCTGCTCCCCTCAGCAGTGTACTTCAGTCCTTCTGCCTGCTCTGCTCCCCGCTCTGGCTCTGGTGAATTCTCTCACTCTCCCGCGCTTCTGACTGTCCCCAGTGCTTATATAAATAAATAAAAATAAATCTTTAAAAAAAAAAGTCTTTAAAAAAAAAAAGTTCTTTATATATACTAGTTGCCAGTCCCTTATTAGATACTTGTTTTGTAGATATTTTCTCCCAGCCTATGCCTTGCCTTTCCTTTTTTTTGACAACTTTTGGAAACAACAGTGAAGATTCTTTGATGGTGTCCATGTTATCAATTCTTTTCCTCTTATGGTTCATGCTTTTTGTATCCTAAGATGTCTTCTGCACTAAGATTGCAAAGATTTTCTTTGGTGTTCTGTTTTCTTACAGAAGCTTTACAGTTTTTGCTTTTTTGTCTAGGAGTGTGGTCCAATTTGAGGACATTTTTGAGTGTGGTGTAAGGTGAGGGTTGAGCTTCCGTTTCCCCCTATGGATTGCTCCAGGCAGTTGTAGATTGTCCTTCTCCATAAAATTACTTTGACCTCTTTGCCAAAAATTAGTTGACCATATAAGCATGGATCTATTTCTAGACTCTTCTGAATTCTTGGAGTTTAATTAGAGCACATATTTTTCATTTGCGTGAGGCCACAGGTATGCCTCTCAGTGTCCTTCCTGCCTGAAGAGGCCACTGCAGCAGAAATGGGAAGGTCGCCTTGCCCAGATGTTCAGTGAGATGGGCCTGGGGCTTATAGACACAGTGCCGATGGCTGCTCAGGAGCTTCTGTTCAGGGCAGAACTGTCCTCCCACCCACTGCACTCTGACCAGCTTGTCGTATGACTGCTGCCAGCACCACAGCCATGTGCTTCGGCATGCCCTCCGTGCCGTGGCCAGCCCTCAGCTCTGCTGTGATGCCCAGCAGCTGGTCACCAGGCTTGCCTGTGTTTAGCCTGGCAAGGCTGTGCTGTAACAGGCACTCATTTGGTGACTGGCTTTATTCCAGGACCTCACTGTGGATGTGCCTGTCTTCTCATTTAATTTTCAGGGTGGCTTGCAAACAGAGCTGATGGGATGATTTGAGAAGTTACAGCTACCCTGCTGTGCGGAGTCACAGCTCTAAGCGGGGTGAGTGTGGGTGGGGCAGCCTCTGCCAGGCTGCCCGCCTCCCACAGGACTTGATAGTCCCCCAGCCCCTGTCTGCTGCCAGTGAGCATATCCTTGGGTACACATCATCTCAGCAGGATGATTTTGTGACAGCTTTCAGCTTGATGCTGTTGCTGAACACTCACTGGACCAACCGCTGTCCGAGGTGCCGGTGAGTCCCCGCTTGGTCCTGGGGGCTCACGTTGCTGTGCCATCTGTGCTCTTGATGCAAGCTCGCGTCTGCTAGGTGAAGATTTCCTGGTTGGTGGAGATACCACTAAGGGAACTGAGTGCTGTGGTTCATTGGTGTCCAGTGACTGGTTAGGGAACCTCAGGGATGCAGCCATCCTGCCTTGCACTGGCCACCAAGCCCTGAGGACTCATGGGGAACCCAAGCCTTCGGGCTGCAGGCCTCTGAGGAGCAGGCAGAGCCTAAGTTAGGTGATGGAATCCTTGAAAGGCATTGAGTTTCACCCTTTTCCAGGAACAGTTTGTCCTCTGCGTTGCAGCGAAGGCAGAAGGCAGCCCCAGAGCACTGGGGGACGAGGGTGGGAACTGCTGTCTCGTTGTCTTCTATAGGAGCTGCCGGTGCTGGTGCTGGGTGAGCACTGCCTTTCGTCTGGACGGCTGCTCGGGCCTGTGGGGCAAGTGCGGTGGACATGGAACCCCGGTGAAAGAGAAACAAGTGTTTTTCTGGGGTTCTTTCAGTCTCCAAAACCCCGCCTCCTTCTGCCAGCAGGCAGCACTTGAGGAAAAAAGCACAAGGTGCATGGGGCCCTCACCTGCCTGGTGGTGCCGCTTCAGGGCCCCCGGCTTTTCCCCTGCTCGCCTGTCCTCCTCTGCGTGCCGAAAGCTTTCAGAAAGCTCGTCATTCACTCCATTTCCCTTACTTTTGAGCTAGACCAGAAGAGTGGCTGGCCTCTTTGTTTGCCCTTGACTGTCTAATTCTGGACATTTCGGGGGAGCACGGTGACAGGAGAGGCTGCAGGTCCTGGGTGCTCTGTGGGGTCTGCCCCATGGAGGACCCTGGCCTGGTGTGATGGGTGGGGTGTGGGCCAGCGTGGGGTCCTGCTGAGCTCGCACGGCAGCCGCGCCATTGCTGGGAGTTAGTGCGATCTCTGTTTTTCTCCTTTTTCATTTTGCCACAAGACAGAATTGTATCACACATCTCCAAAACGAGTAAAATGGCATTTCAGCTTCTTGTCTTTATAGACTCTCTGAACTTTAGGAAAGATCATTCTGGTCCCTTTTCATTAATAATGAAAACCAGGGGCAATAAAATGTTCTTAACGTGAGCGTGGCAGGAACAGAGCAGCAGAAGGGGTGAAGGGTGAGGCCAGCAGGGGCTTCTTGATGCTCGACGAGGTCAGAGCCCCGGAAAGGGGAGCAGCTGAGGGAGGGGTCCTGCTTCTTGGACCCCCCTGAACTGCCGTGCCCGGAGCCTTGGCAGCTCTGGTGCCAGGGTGAGTGGCTGCGTATATGAGGGTGCGGGAATTTTACAAGAAGGCAGGGCCTGGCAGCCGCCAGGCCCTGGTCAGTCTTTAGCCCGCTTACCGCTGCTCTCCTGTAGCTGCGCGGCGGGGGCGGGGGAAGGCGGCAGTGAGGGTGGCGGCCTGGGCCTGGGCCTGCGCGGAGGCCGTGCCTCGGGAGTTGGACGGCGGGGACGCGTGTTCTGACTGTGAGTCAGAGCCCTCCTGAGCAGCCACGCTTGTGAAGGTTACGCCGTCTTTGCGTTTCCCTCCTATAGACGAATGTGCATGGGATGTTGGGTTCGCATCAAGATAGCAGAGCGAGCGGCCGAACTGGCTAGGACAGGATGAGTGCGGCGGCCCGGGACACACAGCCTGCTGGCTCCTCGGGGTCACGGGGAAGGCCCAGGTGCCACAGTGAGCTCAGGGCTTTTGCTTTAACACGTGGCGACTGCTTGTCTGCACAGATTTGTATTGCTTGGGCAGGGGTGGAGGGGTTCACCACAGGGCAGAGCAGGAGAGCACCCCACCAGCTCCTTAGACATGAACCCCAAGTGCCATGGCACAAGCTTGGAAGATTCTGGGAAGCCTGGCAAGCAACCCAAACCCCAGAGCCCAGGGGAGACTAGGCTGATGCATCTGTGTAAACATGAGATGCCCGCACGCCCCGACACTCAGCGCTGTGAGAAGGTGACACTGGGAAGACTTCGCTACTTTGTCCCAGGTGCGCGGCTGGCGTCTCTGCTGGGTACGGAGCTTCTTAGAGCAAATGGATAAGGAAATTGAGTAGGAAGGTGGGGAACTCAGCACCCCAGGAAGGAAATACAGATGCAGAGATGCTCAAACTTCACTCATAGTAAAACCAATGCAAATGAAAGCTAGAGGGAAGTCCTGCTCCAGTGTTGCTGAAATCTGTGCGTGTGCTCACCCCACTGAGCTGGAGCCGCGGAGAAACAGGCCTCCTGTGTTTGCTGGAGGGAACGCGCGGAGGGCAGCTTAGGAGTAGCTCTCACGATTGCCAGTGCCTGTGCCTCTGACCCAGGCTCACAGGAATCCGGGTTTGCCTGTGGGTGGCCCACACGCCTGTGAGAGGTCGTGTGCAGCCATCGATGGCGGCACCGGCCTCCAGTGTTCCGCAATCACCACCAGTGTCCTGCCGTGTCCCGCTGTCCTGAGCAGGTCAGGTGCACCATCAGCACTTCCTAAGGTTTTGAGTAAACAGTTGGTGCTGTCTCTGCCCCGACCCCATTTTGAAGAGGGTCTAGTCTGTCTGTGTCCCCAGTGGGGCTGCACACCAGTATTTGTGCGCACCCGAGAGTGTTGCCATCGGCCTCCCTTGACCCTTTGTTCCTTGAGGGTGGGGTCGTGCCCTGGCTCCCCTGGCACCCCTGCCTTTCTGAGCAGCAGCGCGCAGAGCCCCTGTGAAGTGGAAGGAGGCGTGGCATGGGGAGTGTGCCTGGCCTCAGGCAGCCTCTGTAGCTGGTGTCACAGCTGGTGTGCTGAGGGGGCCAAGTGCCCTCCCTGCCCAGGGGAGGGATGGGGCACCCCTTTTCCTGATGTGCCTTCTCCCCACTCCAGGCCCCGTGGGCTCCCGATGGAGAGAGTACGGTGCCTTGGCGATCATCATGACGGGAATTGCCTTCGGCTTCCACCAGCTCTATAAGGTGAGTCTGCCCTTCCCTGCCTCACGCCCCGCAAGCCCGTCTTCCCCATCCTGAGATTGGTCTGTGTGGAGTTGCTCAACCCTGGGGAGCACCAGGGCAGGCAGTGGGCTGAGTGTCCTCATGAACACACACTCTGCTTCAAGTCCCGGTGCCCCTTCTCCTGCCATGGTCAGACCCCACCTCGTGGGCCGGCGTCCCTCCAAGTCCCTGATGCACAGGGAGCCCGAGGTCAGCAGTCGACAAGGCCTGTCATCTACTGAGAGCAGTGCCAGGCACGCACTCAGCAGTGGGTAAGTCTTGGAGGCAGGATGACATGTTGATTCAGACCAGGAACCTGGAGCCTGGCTGCCTGTGTTGCACCCAGCTCTGCCCCAGAGGAGCGACGGTGAGGTGAGGGTAACTGTGCCGCCTCCCCAGGCTGCTAGGAGTCAGCACCCGTGTGCCCTGTGAGTGGGGAGCGCTCACACTGCTGCACCTTAGTGTTTAACACTGGCTGGGAGCAGCGCATCATACTTGCAGGATCTGTTTTTTTGTCTCTGTGTACTGTGTTGGCATCCACAGAAGTCTTTCTGTGGACTTTCCTAGACTTCTAGTCCACCCACAGGATCCCTGATTTCATTGCTCACAGCAGGACAGCAAGTGTCAGGGGAATGTCTTACCTCCCGGAGACCAGATACTAACCTGAGAGGCCAACTCTGATTTGAAGCCAATGAGTCTTTTCTGAGAGATGCAGAGCCAGGGCGGGTCCCCAGGACCCAAGGTAACCGTGGCCAGAGGACTCACCCCGCTGCCTGGGGCCACCCGCAGTCCCACCCTTGCTTGGGGTGCATCGAGTGGGTGCTCACACTCACTGCTGAGACCCCGCGCCTGCAGGTGTCAACATTGGGCCCTGGGGTTCCGCACTTGCCCCTTGGCCAGAAAGTGAGCCCCGCACTGAGCCCAGCGTATTTTCAGCACAGCACCTGCTCCTGGAGTTGGAAATCCGCACGTCAGAAATCCCAGAAGCAAAATGCTCTGGGCCCCGGGACTTTGCTCTCTCACCCGAGCCTGCCCTTACCTCTTACTCTGGCGTGCAAAGCTTCTTCCCAGTCACCGACCGCTTCTGCTCCCCAAGAAGAATAAAAGGCCAAGACGGAATCTCAGCTTAATGCCTGGGCTCCTGAGGGCAGTACCCGAGGCTGGGTGGCCAGGCAGAGACGTCGTACCTGTTTCTACGAAGCTCGGACCTTTCTCTCTCTGGTTGAAAAAGGAGAAGACACAGGAAAGGCGCGGTCACAGTGGTGACGAGAGGGTTTCTGAACCGCTCCTAATCGTTTCTTTAAATTAAAAAAAATAAAAAGGGCTAAAAGCTGCCTTCGTTGTCAGTTTGTTTTAGAAGTCCATCAAGATTGAGTTGAGGGTCACGTGTGTGTTCCTGCCCTTGGCGTTTCTGATGTCAGCATCGAAATTTTTAGTTATAACACATGTAAGAGCTGACTTTTATACTTAGGAAAATTTCTACCTGGAACGTACGGCTGCATTGATGACTTCCGGCTCAGCTGTGGTCAGTAACTCACATGGTGGTTGCAAAGCACTTTGCGAACTAGAAACTGCTTCTGCAGGTTTGCTGGATACCAACCTGCACTTGGGGGTCCCTCTTGAAGTGAGCTCTCCCGTGTCCCCTGTGAGAGACCCTCTTCTCGATCCCAGCACAGAACTCTGCCGGAGGAGGTGCCCTCTTTCATCTGGGGTCCAGACGGAGCAAGATCCACGGGCGTGGGCTGTGCCAAGACCAGGTTGGCTCCTGGTCTCGTGCCCCTGTGCCCACCCGCAGCTTACACCCACCACACCGCTTGCCATCTTCCCAGACGTCCGGAGACCTCGTCTTCCCCTGATCTGGGCTCCCATGTGCCAGGCCCCCTTGTTTGCCCCGCAGCAGCAGCTCCCCACCTGCCCCCCCTCCCCCAGGTTCTTCTGGTTTTGCCCCTTCCGCTCCCTTCTCTCCCTGTCCAGTTCTGGGGGAGTTTGACTGCCTTTGCCTCTGAGTGAGGGAATCTTGTTCTGAGGGCCCAAGGCTGCCTTTAGAAAAAGATCTCTTCAGACCCACCCCTGGAGGCTGCCCTGGTAGAGAAACCAAAGGCCCCAGAACTCTGCTGTTGATTTTCATCTAGTTTCTCACCTAATTTTGTTTAAGTTTACTCATTTATTCCTGAATGGATGGCTCCTTCACATGGTTTCATGTGGGAAGAGGTGGGAAGGGTTCAGAAAAGTGTACCCCAGAACCTCTTCCTGCTCCTCAAGGAGGCCACGCTGCTCTGGGGCTGCTTTCTTGTTTACCTCCCAGAATTCACCTGACACCTTTCCCGGTGAATCTTAAATATCTTTGTCATAGAAACATCAGATCTAGCACCATTAAGAAAATGACGTAACCAAATGGGAAACTAAAGAAAGAACCAGAAAGTTCTCCACCACAGCAGATCAAATCAATTTTACTTGTCCTGACCGTCCCCCGCTGGGACACGCGGGACTGTCAGGTGTCCTGCTCACGGACAGCACTTGCTCAGCGCTCCCACCCTGGGGGAAGGAGAGCTGGTGGCAGGCCGGGAGCTTGGGGAGGACGACCCAGGCGCGCAGCCACCCTCACGCCTGCCCGCTTCTTGTAGAAATACCTGCTCCCCCTCATCATGGGCGGTCGAGAGGACAGGAAGCAACTGGAGAGAATGGAGGCGAGTCTCTCCGAGCTGAGTGGCAGCGTGGCACAGACAGGTAAAGATTAATGACTCCATCAAGTCACCCCTCAAAGCCTTCTCCGAGCAGCCCCTTCTCTGCCCCCTCCCCTCTCCCCTCGTCTCCACTTTATGTGGTGACTTCATTTATCTGCTCTGAGAATCTGTTCACATTTGCAAATGAAGCCGCCGTCATTTCGGTTTAATTTGAAATTGCTTGTTTACTGTCGGCGCGGCCTCAATTAATTATGTTTTTACGGAAAGGCTCCCAACCTCAGAATATTAATAAGGGGAATAAAATGACAGCCTTTCTAAGGGCTGTAAAGTTCATTTTTAATTTCTGCTTCTATGAGGTTTTCAGGGGGGTTTTCGGTGATTTTTCCCCCTTCCCTCAGAGAACCCAATGCGGGGTCAAGAGAGGCTGTAATTACTGCGGCTCCCGGGACCCTGGCCACCTCCTCTGTCACCGACTCCGCAGGCCAGTGTTCATTACCCAGCGCCCCAGTGATGGCCCAGATTAGCTGGGACCTGTCGCGCCAGGGGTGGCTTTTCTCCTTTATGAACTTGTTTACTAGTGCTGGCTCTGAATCGAAAAACTCTGGCCGTCGCCTGTCCCGGGCAGGAGTTTGTCCCTTGGGGAAGTGCTCGCAAACTCTCCTGTGGGCCCCATGCCTCCTCCAGTGGCCCAACCTCGGGTGGGTGGGCAGGGCAGGAATTCGCAGTTTGTAACCACTCCGGCGCCTGCGGAGACCTGCGCTGATGCGCGTCTCCCAGGACTGGAGACTCCCACGAGCCCCCAAGGACACAGTCGGGCCTGGGAGATGAGGGATGCAGACAGCGCCAAAGTCGCAAGAGCCAAGCAAATCACAGGCAGATATAATTAGAGGGGAGAGGTTTTGGACGGATATACTGTTGACCACGGACAACTGCACAATAGAAAGATAAAGTAGAAATACTGGAGGTTAAGATACAGTGCAGGTAGCTCACCCAGCGTGCAGATAAATTATAGGACTGTGGGGGTGGGGCTGTCTGCGAATAAATTAGATGTAGCAGCTTCTAGGTGTGTGGACAGAGACGTGTGTCGTTTAACAGAGATACGACTGCTCTTTCCCCAGTGACGCAGTTACAGATGACTTTAGCCTCTGTCCAGGAGCTGCTGATTCAGCAGCAGCAGAAAGTCCAGGAGCTCGCCCATGAACTGGCCACAGCCAAGGTACTTGCCCCCGGCCCCTGCCCCTCCAGGCCCAGGCCGCCCTGCCCGGCTCCTCGCTCTTGTCCTTTGCGCCGGGTTCCCTGCGTTCTGAGGGGTCTGATGTCGTCTTTCCTCTCGCCCGCTCTCCCCAGGCCCACACTGGCCCTGCAGAGGGAGGAGGCAGTCATGGCACGGGCGGTTGGCCTTCATCACGGAGACCCTCCTTTCTGTCTCATGTCACCTCACAGTAGGAGGCAGCTCCCCAGGCAGCACGGGACCCTCTTGGAGGTGGTGGGTGCAGATGTGGGGCGGCCTCTCCCCTCAAGTTAGGTTGCAGGTCCCCACAGTGCTAGGAAGGATTCTAGAGCTTGGGGAGAAAGGAGCCTGCCCAGATGCTGGGCTGGCCTTGGCTGCAAGGGGCAGGCTCTCTGAACCCGAATCTCCAGGTCAGTTCACCTAAAAAGAGCGGAGGCAACTGGGCTCCACTGAGGTGGTTTCCATACCTCATTTCCCAGCTCTCACACCGCTCAGCGTCAGACCACGGGGGTCAGAGTCTGCTGAGTGCTGGCGGTGAGGGAGGGCAGGCTCGCTGCAGTGTTGCCTCGTCGCGGAGGCGGAGCTGCTGGGCTCCTCCTCTACCGCCCTCTGCATGCGCCTTGCTCATCAGTCCCCAGGATTGCAGGGTCCCCAGGATCGCAGGGTCTGGCCTGGGTTCTGGGCGTGGGTCACCCCGAGGCTCTGTTGTGGACAGGCTGGTCTCGGTCCCCCACCCCGTGCTGCCCTCGGGCTGCTCCCATGCAGCTCAGACTGAGTGGAGGTCCTGCAGTCACCCCACCCTGGTGTGCCGCCCCGTGTGAGCTGGTGCTCAGGTCTTCTGCACTTCGAAACCCAGAAAAGGAGGAATGTTTCCATTTCCAGTGGAATCTGGGGTATCCTGTGAAGAGGGTGCCCCTGCTCCCCACACTGCCTACACTCGCTCAGATGACTGTGGTGGGGTGGCCGCCTCCAGGCACCGTGCGTGCCCGCAGGCAGGCGGCCCATAAAGCAGCCGGGAAGGCCGCCTCGCGCCCGCCTGCTCGCTCTATTATCTTTCGGCGGGTGGCCTGCCAATGGCCAGAAGCCATTCCGGAAATTGGAAAACTGTTTTCAGACCTTAAGCATTAAGATTAAGACCACATGTTGCGTTTTGAGAGGGGAGGGGCCCGGGGTTGTGCTTGGTGGTTGAGAGCTGGCTGAGAGCTTCTTGTGCTGGTGTTTTTTTGTTTTTTTTTTTTTTGAGGCCTCCCCCCTCACCCCATTCTCTCCTGCACTGGAGCAGAGCTAGTGAGTTTGGTATCTAAACTCCGATGTGTGAAGACTTCGGTTACCCCATAAACCAAAGACTTAGAGTGGTGTTTTCTCAGCTGTAATGTAAGTTTTTATTTCTGGCTTCCAAACTCCTACTGCAGCACTGTAAAAAATTAAAAAGAAGAGCGTTAAGTAATTAAAAAACCTACATAAAACTGAAGGCTGGGAGTTTTCTACAACTGCTTTTTAAAGAGACTGGCTAAAAAGCCCCAGATGTCAGATTTTATTTCTAAATCCTGGCATCTGGCACCATATGCGTTTGGAAATTTGAGTCCTTTGTAGGCCGGTGAGTGGAAATTGCTCCCTTGTTAATGGGCTGCTAGAGCTTTCAAGGTCTCAGGGAAGCCAGAACAGTGGCTCCTGGACCTGAGCTGTCTGGGGGTCTGGAGTGGGGACCCCCAGGAGACGTGTGTGAGGGCAGCGGGCGCTGGCATGTGCTGCCTCTGACACTGCCCAGGTTTTTCTTCCCAATATCTGCAGCACCTCGGAGGGGCTTCTCCCTGTGCCCCCTCCGCCTGCCCCCCCATGGCCTGCTCTCTTAGGCTCCTGGCTTCTGAACTCACAGCTTGTGTTTTCTGCCTCAGGCCTTGCTAGGTGTCCAGAGGGCAGGCCCCCACCTCTTCCACGTGGCCTGCGGCCTGGGCCGTGCAGCCTGCACACTTGGAATGGCCCCTAAACTTCACAGGCAGCGCGGTCGCTGGCCACCGCCCTCTTGGAGACCACTCGCTCAGCTGTTCTGCGCTCTAGCCGACTTAGCTTGCCAAGGGGTGGCTGTCTGGGGTTGGGAGAGAACCCGGTTCAGAGGGGAAAGGTGTGCGGGGAAGGTGGCGTTTGCCGGAGGTGCGTGTTTCCTCCGTGGGCTTTTGGCGGAAGGACTTGAAGTGCAGGACGACTCTCTTTGCCGAGCCTTCAGAGCATCTAGTCCTGACAGAGAACGGCCCTGCAGGGGTGACTTTGCAGACAGCGGGACGCGGTCCCAGGCCGGACCTCACAGAGCTGGGGTCCAGACCTGCTTGAGCCGAGGGCCGGTCAGACCCTCAGGCGCGGGCGGGGACCAGGCTCGGCATGTGGCACGATGGTTCTGAGGAGGGGCCTTCGGGGGGGCAGGGAGTTGGTAGAGATGGTGTGGTTTACTCCATTAAGTTTCCTTTGATGGAACATGCCCAGTGCAACATAGTGGAGGGGCCGTGCAGTGACCCCCGGGCCCCATCTCCTGGCTGCAGCCCGCCACCCCCTCCAGCCCTCCCCCATCTCTGCCGCACCCCTACCCCCAGTTCTTTGGAAGCATAGCCCCGACAGCGAGTCATTTCATATTGCAGACACTTCGGTTTGTGTTTCTGAGAGGTAAAGGTCTCTTTTATTGTTGTCCTTAATTTTATTTTACATCACCAGGATGCCATTATTACATCGAAGTATGTGCCACGGTTCCTTAGTATTGTCAGCTCTCCAAACAGAGTGGTGTGAATGTTTATTTTAAGGGTGTCCTCATTTAAACAGAGACCCAGGCAGGCAGACCCCTGAATGAGCAGAGGCAGAACCCTCCAGGGGGTCTCCAGGCTGCCTCTCAGGACACAGAATGTCCCCAGGCCCACCTGCCGCCCTGGCGTCTGGGGTCGCAGGCTGGGGACACCTACACTGACCCTGGTTCCCTTTCAGGCCACCACTTCTACCAACTGGATCCTGGAGTCCCAGAACATCAATGAACTCAAGTCGGAAATTAACTCCTTGAAAGGGCTGCTTTTAAATCGGTAGGAGAGATGGGGCTGGCCGGGGCTCTTGGGCCGGTCTCTCGCGGTCATGTGTGGAGGGGGGGTGCCTCTCCCTGTCTGTCTGGCCCCTGGTGGAGCCAACGGTTCAAGCAGTGAGTCAAGAGTCCTCTGAGCTTCTGTTATCCTTCCTCATTGGCTCCCTCCCTCCCCAGCCCAGGGGTGACAGTCTGCAGCACCCTCAGAGTTTTGAAATACAGGCCATTCCTCGGCCTGTCAAGACCTGGTCGGGCACAGTAAGAAAGCAGGAATGTGAACAGAGAGCTCCCTCACCCTGAAAGAGGGACCCCAGTCAGCCCCCTCCTCACCCTTGCCCCCCACCCCCACCCTGTTGTCAGCTTGGTGACAGCGTCATCCCACAGAAAGTCCCCACTTTCTGTCTGCCTGGTTTGAAGAGCTCCCCGACTCCAGGCATAGGCAGTGCGGAAGCGGCCTCTGCCTCTTCCACCTCCTTGGGTCTCCCTCTGCTGGCCCTCCCCAGTGACAGCCTTTCCCCAAGGGAGGCTGCTGTCACCAGCACAGCCCCAAATGCAGGGTGGCCCACCTGTCCTGGTTTCAAAGCTGGAAGTCCTGTGTCCCAGGAACGTGCTAGGGACCTGGGGCACTGGTCACCCCACCTGAAGGGTGCCCAGCTCGGCCCACGCGAGACTGCATGGGTGCCGTGAGGAAGCACGGGGGCCAAGGACCCATCTTCCTGGGCCACCCATTTCAGGGCTTCTCTCAAGAACAGCATGTGGCATTAAAAGAGTCATGACCAAGCTTGGGGGTGTCATCAGGAGAGACCCTCTGCTTCCAGACCTGGGAAACAGGAAGCTTTGAGGCCAGAGGGACAGAGAGCAGGCCACTGGGTAACGCTGGGGCCAAGAAAATGGATGGTGGAATTTCTCGTTGGCGTCTTTGATGTTGGTGAACAATGTGGCCTGGGCTGCAGTGAGGCCTGGGCGGGGAGCAGTGCCAAGGACGACAGGCAGCACAGAAGGGAGCAGGCCCTCATCCTCTCGGCCCAGAGATGGGCTGCCTGGCCTGGAGCTCGGTTTCCTGGCCACTGCCAAGTGGTCCTGCCCTCCAGGGCCCTCCTGAGATTGGCTTCGGTCTGGGCTGGCTGCAGGCCCAGCACCCAAGGCGGGAAAGGAGCTGAGAACTGCTCTTCCCTGTTGAGTGTTGAACTCAGGTTTTCTAGCAAGTCACCAGCGATACCCTGCTGGAGCCTCTGGCCAGCTGCTGGCTCCTCCCCACTTTTCCTTGGCTGTGGACTAGTTAGAGGCCAGGTCAGGTATCTTGGCCACCTGGGCTCCTGGTTCGCTGCCCTCTCTGGCTCACAGGGCAGAGGCTGGGCAGTGTGTAAGAGCAGGAGGGACTGGACTCTAGGGTGTGGCAGGCCCCCTGGGGTCTGCTATCCAGCAGTTGTCAAGGATGGGACGACCCAGGAGGCACCCTCCATGGGCAGCGCTCTTTGCGGGCAGCACAGGGCACCTCTGGCTTCCCTCTCAGCTGCTCCAACCTCCAACCAGCCAGGAGGCTGTTGTGACAGACAGGGGAGGGAGGGAACATGGGGTGGGCAGCAGAGCTCAGGCTCGTGCCCCTGAGCTAGGGCTCAGCAGGGAGTGGCTCTGCCAAAGGTGGGGCCCTGGGATGCTGTCATCAGCCCTGCCCGTGTCCCCTTCTCTGCCAGGAGGCAATTCCCACCGTCCCCGTCGGCCCCGAAGATCCCCTCCTGGCAGATCCCAGTCAAGTCACCGTCGCCCTCCAGCCCAGCCGCCGTGAACCACCACAGCAGCAGCGACATCTCGCCCGTCAGCAACGAGTCCACGTCGTCCTCGCCCGTGAAGGAGGGCCACAGCCCCGAAGGCTCCAGCACAGCCTACCACCTACTGGGCCCCCAGGAGGAGGGCGAGGGGGTGGTGGACGTCAAGGGCCAGGTGAGGATGGAGGTGCAGGGCGAGGAGGAGAAGAGGGAGGACGAGGAGGACGAGGAGGACGAGGACGTGAGCCACGTGGATGAGGAGGACTGCCTGGGGGTGCAGCGGGAGGACCGCCGGGGCGGGGACGGGCAGATCAACGAGCAGGTGGAGAAACTGCGGCGGCCCGAGGGTGCCAGCAACGAGAACGAGCGGGACTAGGCCGCCGTGGGTCGCCGTCCGGCACCTGGGACGTGGCCGGCCCGTCCTCCTCTGGCTGGCGGGGGGAGGGCGGCCGTGGGCAGGTGGAGGCGGAGCTGTCGGGCCCTGCTGGTCCCTGCTCCGCGCCCCTGCCCTCCGCCCGCACGCGGGCTCGCATTCTGTCCACCCGCCTCCTCTTGCCTGAGCGCCAGCCCCGGCTCCTGCGCCCCCATCACTTCTCCGCTCAGCCACACACGGGCCCTTGACCTCGTTCCACGCCAGGCCGAGGGTGCCCAAGTCGTGGTGTCGCGTGCCATCAGCCCCGTCTGCAGGCGGGCGTTCCGTTCAGGGTGTGTCTGCTGAGCATCTTGGCTAACTTACCACCGTGCATGGCAAGAGGTAGCTTAATCACCTGACTCCTGACCCTCAGCGAGGACGTGCCACGGCGACCTGGTGTCTGCTGTCCCGTCCCTCCCGCCCCTCCACGCTCCTCTCAGCAGGGACCAACGGGCCGCAGGGCCGTCTTGTTCTGTTTCCAGAAGCCACATACTGAACTCCTCTCTCAGCGAAGGCCCCCAGGTCCTGCCCGCCTGCCGGCCTCGTGTGCCCACCCAGCCCTCGTGTGCCCTGCTCCCTCCTGGCCCCACACGCTCTCACCACACTGCGCGTCCTCGCTTGCCATCAGGGCTCGGCCCCCCAGGGGGACACGGTACTCCCTCCCACGCGGGAGCCAGGAGCAGGGCCTCCCGTCTGCCCTCCCCTCCCAGAAACACAAGTTCATCTGTGTGATCAGGCGTAGGTTCCAGAGTATGAGATGCGACTGTATATAATTGTAATAAATATGAGTTGCCACTATTTAATTCCTGCCTGTGGCTCCCTGTCTGCTCAGGGCCTGTACCCTGAGGTGGGCCTAGGCCAGGACCGTGCCAGGTGGGCTTGGTGGCGGGTCTGCACAGGGGTCGTGGGTGGGCGCTGGGCCTGGGCTGCCCCTGTCCCCTCGTCCCGGAGGCCTCTCCGGCTGCCCACCTGGACCTGGGGGGCTGCTCCTCCCCCCGAGCGTGTGCCGAGGAGCGGCTCTCTGCCCGGCGGAGCAGGGACCTCCCGGTTGCTGTATATAGACCTGGGCTTGCGTGTGATGAGCTCTCCTTCCTTAAATGGATGAATGTGTTCCCAGGAGAGTGTCTCCTTCTCTCTTCCTCCCCCGTCTCGTCTCCTCTCACCCGCCCTGTCTCCCTTTAACCTTCACACGGCATAGACTAGACCCAGAAAAACAGTGCAGGGCGATCCTTCAGCGGAGCACCCGCGCCCTCCAGCCCCAGGTGCCATGGTGGGTGTGGGGACAGGGCCTGGCCTCCGCCAGGGGCCTTGTGTGGGCGCAGGCTGAGGGGACAGTGCAGGGGCGGCGCCCTCGGAGCTGAGTGTGCAGCGCAGTATGTACCCCTGGGCGCGCGCCCTGCCAGCCTTCTGACCGCAGCCGCCGCCAGCTGCCGCTGCCCCTCCCGCCTCTGCCCGCTGCGTGGCCCCTGGACGATGGGAAACCTGACTTCGGGGCTGTTTTGTCTCAGGAAACCTTTCACCTACTTTCACCCCTTGCAGGGCTCACCCCTCCCCCCGCAGCAGACCCGCCCCTGCTGCTGGGCCCCGGGCTCGCCAAGGGTCTAGTCACGCACGGCCACTGAGCCTGTCTCCACCTCCCACGTGTCCAGCCCTCCGGCCTGGGGTCTCAGGTGGTGTCGTCACTGCTCAGAACCTCACGTGTGACTTCCCTGTGGTCTCTCTTCCTGCCACCTGCATCCTGGGGACGACACGTGGAACGTTGGCTTTGCCTCCTTGCTGTCCCCAAAGAAGCCAGGGTTCTAGTCCCTGGGGATGAGGATGCCAGTGTTGGGGCGCCAGACCAGAGGTGCGCGAGAGGAGGGCTGAGGCTTGTTCTGAAGCACCCCCTGGCCTCTGGGCCTTCCCGCCTGCCTGCCCACCTCCCTGCCTCCATGGCGCCTCAGTGGGTGGAAATGGATGGAGCCTCCCGGTCCCCCCCCCGTTCAGTGCGAGCAGCAGCAGCAGCCCCAGACAGGGAGCCCCAGGGGCAGATGGGCTGGACGGAGACCCGGCTGAGCTCTTGGGTGGGGTGCCGGCCATGCCCACAGCCCTGTTGGCCAAGAGCAGGCCGCCTGCAGCCTTAGCGTCCCCAGGGCTGGGGACAGTTTTCTCCTGCCTGGGGGCTCCCGTGCAGGCAGGAAGGGATGGAAACCTGGGCCCGGAGGCCTTTTGTCCTTTGGGTCCCAAGCACTGATTTCGGCTTTTGAGGACAGAGAGTCTGGCGTGATTTCAGGGAGAAAAAAACCCCTCCCCAAAACGGCGTGAGTGCTGCCTAATAAAGGCAGCTGCTGGACGGAGGAAAAACAGCCCTTTGAAAAAAAGCCTTTCATTAGAAAAATAATGCATTTCATCCAAATAAGGTAAAAATATTTGGAATGGGGCAGAAGTGAGCGCAGGCAGCGCCTGTCAGGCCCTTTCTGGAAGGGGAAGATTATTAAGCTCAATTACAATGTGTTTTTGTAGCGTGTCTTGAGGAAAGCACTTGCCCCGCGCTGGGAGGCCCAGGGTGGCTCTGCTGGCCCGGGTGATCCAGCCCCGCAGCGGCTCGTGGGCTCCGCCTGGGCGGCCCTCCTGCGGGGGCCCCGCTGGTGCCGGGTGTGAGTGAGGCCCGGGGTCAGCCTGGCCAGGAGCCGGCGACGGAGCGTGCCCGGGCCCGGCCCTCGTCCACCTGTGTGTGTTCCGCGGTCCCGGCCCGCCCCGGCGTGGGGACGGGGCCCTCCTGGGGAAGGGGATGCAGGGGGTGCTGAGTGTGTACCCATAAATGCTGATTTCTTTTCAGATCGTGGAAGGCTCCCATCAGATATTTTAAATCCTAATCAATGTAGAAGGGGCAGCAGCCCTCCGGCGCCCGCAGGTGCGCCCCTTTCAAATAAAACCGGGAAGCTCCTCTTCCGCCCGCGCGGCCTGCTCGTCTCCCCGCGGGGAGCGCTGCGCCTTCGATTCGGGGCGCGCCAGCGGGGACACTGGGGGCGAGTTCTCTGGAGCCAGAACCTGCCTCACCTCTGCTTGCCTGCCCTGCCCCCCCAGCCCCGCTCCAGAACCCACGGGGAAGGGCGGGAGATGTCTGCCGACGGGCCTGACGGCTGATCCGGGGAGGTTACTCAATCCCTAGTGTTCTTGTCTGTTTGTTTAAAATGGTTCCTGTCAGGCACCCAGAGACGCGCAGAGGCTCCCGACAGCGGGCTCGAGGTGCCAGTGAGGCCCGCAGGTGGCAGTGCTTCGGCCTCAGGTGCAGCGCACACCTGGGCTTGGACGCCGGTCCTGGCGGACCCCTCCTGCCCCGGCAGCGCCTGTGGCCCTGCTCCTTTGCCCGCTGGAAGCAGGCCCTGCCCCCACAAAGGGACGGCTGCCGGCAGGCATCTCCGCGGGCCCCCTCACAGGAAGCTGTCCAAGCTGGCCCTGCCCTGGGGGTCTCTTTACCCTTCGCACTCCAGCCCCCCGCGGCCACCCCCCAACTCCCTGGAATGGGGGATCTCCGTCCTGCTGGGGGACCGGCCGCCTGACTCAGGAATACGCCTTAACAGTCTGCTGCTGAGCGCCGCCGAGCTCGTTGCTGTTGAGAAGAGATGCGATCCCGCTGCTCGGTGAGCGGGACGGCCGAAGCGTTCCCCGACCCCGGCAAGTCCCGGGCAGCTCACGCAGGTGCCAGGGCCATGTTTTTAAATACACCTGGGAGCTCAGTGCGGGCCCCGCGCAGCCCTGGCTGGCCAGCCCGGCGGGGGCCTTCCCAGCGCTCCAGGTCCAGGGCACCCTGCCAGCCTCAGAGAGGCTCCGGCCAGGGCCTCGGGGTCCGCGTTGGGAGAACTGCGGTGTCTCCCTCCAGTGCTGTGGGCGTGGGGCTCTCGGCGGAGGTCTGGCTGCCCCTCCTGCATGGGCTACGGGCCTCCTGCGAGCCGCTCCCCGTCTGGCCCATCCCAGAGGGTGAGGTGGCTTGTCCCAGCTAGGGTGACACAGGCAAGGCCCCCATGATCCAGCCTGTCAGAGGGGCCTGCCGTCAGCCCTGTGTCCTGGGCCTCCCTCTGCACTTCACCCCCCGCTGCCCTCGGGGGCTCAGGTGGCCCGGGCACATGAGCTGGCCATGCAGGGAAGGGGCTCCCCTGTGGGGTTGGTGCAGGTGGACCGGGCGCAGGGCTGCTGGGACAGCTGCAGCTGCTGGTAGCACCGAGGCCTGTGGGTGGAGGGCAGGCCACCAGCTTGGCGTAAGCCTGTGCAGCTGGTTCTGGCTCTTTCCAAGAGGTTACAAAACTCTTGAATTTGCCCCAGTTTGGGTGTAGGAGCCGCACGCCACCACAGCTAATTAAATCCCAGAATGAAAACATGTTTTACTGAGCTTCCTACTGAGGCCAACAAGCCACAGGGAGTGTTTGGGGCCTGGGCCCACTCCACACCCCTGGGGTGGGGGCCCCTGTAACTGCAGGCCCCTCCCTCCGGGGGGCACCACCTCTGGGCACGAGCTCCTGACGAGCGTGGTAAGGGCGGCTCTGCTCAGCCGGGGCAGTGGGCTGGGCTGGGTGCGGCATCCTGCGCCGCTGGCCCTTGTCTCCCCACCACCAGGTTCTTCTGAGCGGCCTCCTAGACCCCGTGCCCCCTTCCCTGGGCCAGGCACAGAGCCTCATGACCGTCTCCCTGGGTCTTGGTCCCTGCCTTGCCCCGAGTCCAGTTTGGAAGCCGGTCCAGCCGTCGGCCAGGCCGGGGCACCGGGGGGGATGGGTGGGGGGTGCCGCTGAGGTCCATCCAGGTCCAGAAGCGCCGGGGACGGGGGTCTGGCCAAGGTCCGCAAACTGTCCTGAGTCCTCACTGTCATGCCCCTGAGCCCCAGGAGCCCCTGGGAGCTGTTCCCCCAAGCCTCTGGGGCCCGCCTCTGCCCCACCCCCAGCAGCACCCAGAGGGAACCCTGTGGTCGCACCACCCACTCGCCGGCGAGGTCCGGGCTTGGCTCCCTGCCTCCCCTCAGGCCCCGCGGGAGGGCGGCCGGCCCACCAGGGCCTGTGAAGCTCCAATAATGGTTTTAATTTGTTGAACTTGTGTTTTATCCCACAAATTAGTCACTGTTTTATTTAACAGAATCGAGATATCCACAAACAATAGGCGAGTTCCAACTTGAACATTTTAATAAGACAGAAAAAAGTCTGTATTTTCGCGTCTGTTACAAACATATTTATGTAAATAGCCTGCGGGCTGCGTTCCAGGAAGAGAAGAAAGGCAAGGCCCGCGCCCGGCCGAACCGGGCTTCTGTGGCGGGCAGGACGCGGGGCGGCCCGCGGGGCGCCATGGCCCAGGCCCCCCAGCCTCTGCTGCCCTTTCCTGCCCCAGGGTGCGCCATGGGGGGGGGGACGCTCCTCGAGGCGGGTGAGCTCGGGGACCCCCAGGCTCTTCCCTGAGGCCTGGAGGGAGCCGCCGGGTGCTGCAGGGGGCAGGTCTCCCGGGAAGGGTCACCACTGCCCCTGCCAGGCCGCCACCGCGGGCGCCCCTGGCGCAGGGCTGGTAGCCGCACACCCAGGAATCGGCCCCCTCTGACTCTGCCCCTGCGCGCTCCGGGCGAGCTCCAGACAGGAGCCGAGCCAGCATCCGGATCGGATCCGGGTACGCGCCGTTCCCAGTCCGGGCAGGTCCCTGCAGGAAGGAGGAAGGAGCCGCGGGAGGAGGCAGAGGGATGACCCTGCCAAGCGCCTGCCCAGTAGCCCAGTGACGGGAGGGGGGGTGCCGTGCCGCCTGCGGGGCCTGTGCCCGAGGCCAGGCTTCTGTGCCAGTCGGGCCTGCCCGCCGTGGCTCCTGAGCCGCTTTCGGGTCTCCAGGCCGAGCTAGGGGAGGAGGTCACTTGGAGCCAGGCGGGACCCGACACCGCGGCCCTGTCCCAAGGGTGCGACCAGCCTGCCCGGGGCCGAAGGGCAGCCAGCCCCCTCCCTCCCGGCCCTGGCACCGGGGCTGGCACCTGGGTCACGGCCAGCACTGGGGGCTGACTATGAAAATAAAGATAACTTGACAGATTTTTTTTCCAGTTTTTATTGAGTGAAAATGTCAAACCTTGCATCAGTCATGCAAAAAAAAATCAAATAAATAAAACACATATATTAAATTTCTAATAGCACTAAATTCAAGTGGAAAAATATTCAGTTCTTAATAACCAGGTGCCGAGGAGACCAGATTCAAGTAATCAGAGCACACGCTGTTCAGTTCGGTTTTCACGTTCTGCATTTTTGTCTCAAAACCTCTATATATCTCTCTCTATCTATATATGTATATACATATAGATACACACATCTGTGCATACATGGCATTTATATTTATATATATACACATACATAGTTATAAAACATTAAAAAGAGCATTGGTGGATCAAGCATTGTTTTCCCCACAGAAAGAAAATAAAACAAAAATTACACATTAAAATTCAAAATGAGCTAGCAATGGCTTGTAGTCCTAGTGTGCAATATGAAGGTACAAAAGGCTAGACTTCGCACTTCGGCATCTTCTTTTCTCTTTTTTTTTTTTTCTTTTGATTTTGCTACATTGAAAAATGTTTTTTTTCCTTTACAAAACTCCGCCCGCATGGTCTACGGTGGGGCGCGAAGTCTGGGCGAACCTCAGCTCAGCAGCAGCGGGGCGCCCACGGATTCAGGAGGCTCTGGTGGGGGCTGTCTGGGAGAACGATCTGCATCGGGTACACTCCACCTGAGGGTGCACTCCACCTGGGGGTGCACTCCACCTGGGGGTGCACTCCACCTGAGGGTGCACTCCACCTGAGGGTGCACTCCACCTGGGGGTGCACTCCATCTGGGGTACACTCCACCTGGGGGTGCACTCCATCTGGGGGTGCACTCCACCTGGGGGTACACTCCACCTGAGGGTGCACTCCACCTGAGGATACACTCCACCTGGGGGTACACTCATCTGAGGGTATACTCCATCTGGGGGTACACTCCACCTGAGGGTACACTCCACCTGAGGGTGCACTCCACCTGAGGGTGCACTCCATCTGAGGGTACACTCCATCTGGGGGTACACTCCATCTGGGGGTACACTCCATCTGAGCCTCCCTCCCTCCCGCTGCGGTCAGATGGGCCTGGCGTTCCGGCTGTGGGCAGCCAGGAGGACAAAAAAGAGAAAAAGGAAACCACTCCCCACCCCCCCCCACCCGTCGAGTCAGGCTCCCCCGACACTCTGGGGAGCCCCGGGGGGGGGGCAGTCCCTCCCCAGGGGCTGGGCAGCCGCCCTCGTCCCTGTCACCTCCGAGCCCTGGCCCGGCGTCCCCCTGCGGGGGGGGGGGGGGGCTCCCACCCAGGGCCCCACGTTCTCCAGGGAGCGGGCATGTTCGGAAAAGGGACTCAGATCCCAAGAGGCGCCCCAAACAGGGTCATCAACCAAACGGGGGGGTGGGGGGAAGCCCTATAAAGCCACACGCATAACCAAGAGAAAAACTCAAATGTTAAATGAACTACAACCCGCGTCGACAGGACAGTCCTTCCTTCTCGTCTACAAAATTCAAGTTAGAAGTTGGAATCACGCAGCTCCCGTCAGTGCGAGTGTGAAGACGGCGCCCCCCCCGCGGGGGCCCCGAAAACGCCCGCCCGTCGCCCGCGGCCGCGCACGGGTCTCCCGGGGGGCGGGGGGCGCTCCCGGCCCCGCTTTCCACTTTGTTCTCGGGAGGGAGGAACCTCTGCAGGGAAACCTGTACGACTCGCGCATTTTTTCCCATTTTGAGGAGCAAAGCCCCGGGGCGGCCTCCTCCGGCGGCGGGGCGCCTCCGCGGGGGACCCCGGGCGGCCCCCGCCCCCCGCCCGGCCCCGGGGCAGCTCCGGCGGGCCCTGCGGGGGTGGGGGGGCCCCAGCGCCGCCCGCCAATTCCTTGAGATTCTCCGGGTCCCTGTCGAGCCCCCCGCGCCCTCGGACGAGGCCCCTCCCCGGGCGCACGAGGCGGGGGTCCGGGCGCGGCGCGGCCTCTGGAGGGGGGCGGGGTCCGCGCCCGGCCCGGCCCAGTCCTGAGCAGTGAGGACCCCGCCGGGCGCGGGGGGCCCGGGGCCGCCGCGGGGGGCCGCTCCCGCCGGCCTAGAGCACCTTCCGATTCCCTGAAGAAGACCGAGCCGCGCCGGGCGGGGGGCGCCCGAGCACCAGGGGGGGCCCCGCCTCTGTCCTGAGACGGACTCGGGGTCCGGAAGCACCGGCGGGGCGGGGCAGGGCGGGGCGGGGCGGGGCCCGGGGCGCCCCCGACGCCGCGCGGGCGCGGGCTCTGGACACGGGGCGGGTCACCCATAAACACCGTTTCTCACAGAACCGACAGCTCCGGGGGCGGCGGCGCGGGGCGGGCGGGGGGGGGCGCGGGCGGGCGGGGCTAGGGCGCGGCGGCGGCCGGGGGGCGCGGGCGGCGCGGGGGGCGCGGGGGCGCGCGCTCGGGGCTCCGCGCCGCCGCGTCGGGCAGCGACTCCTCGGAGTCGGTCTGCAGCTCGTCCTCGTCGTCCTCGTCGTCCTCGTCGTCGTCGTCCTCGTCGTCGTCGTCGTCGTCGTCCTCGTCCGCCTCCTCCTCGTGCAGCTCCAGCTCCTCCTCCTCGTCCTGCGACGACTCCCGGCGGGCGCGGGCGCGCAGGGCGCGGCGGGGGGCGCGGGGGCGGCTCCGGGGGGGTCGCCCGCGTCGCCCAGCGCCAGGCCCAGCCCCGCGGCCGCCGTCTGCAGCAGCAGCAGCGCGCCCCCGCCGTCCAGGCCGCCCGCGCCGTCGGGGCCGCCCGCGCCGTCGGGGCCCCCGCGCTCCTGCTTCTCGTGCTTGCGCTTGTGCGAGTCCATCTGCGACATGCCCACCACCGTGTGGCGGCAGCCGGGGTGCGTGCAGTGGAAGTGCGAGCACTTGAGCTTGTACTTGCAGTCGGGCACGGCGCAGTCGGCGCTCGAGCTGAACTGGCAGAAGCCCGCGGCGCTGATCACGTCCTGCTTGCCGTGGTGCTTGCGGTGCGCCGTGACCTTGGTGCTGTCGGTGCAGCGGAAGCGGCAGCGCAGGCAGTGGAAGTGCGTGCTGGTGCCCGAGAAGGGGCAGTCGGCGAAGTGGCAGCTGAGCGAGGCCTTGAAGCGCTTGAAGTCGTCCAGCACCAGGTTGTCCACGCGGTCGTGGTGCTGCGCGTGCTTGTACATGTGCGTGCGCCCGCAGAACTTGTAGCCGCAGTTCTCGCGCGTGCAGTGGTAGTGGGTGACCTTGAGCGAGAACTGGCAGGCCGCGTCCTTGCAGTCCTCGTAGAGGTCGAAGCGCCGGAAGCCGTCCAGCATCATGCCCTCGTCCAGCATCTTGCGGGACGACGCCGTCTTCCGCCGCTTGCCGAAGGGCGACATGTCCTCGATGATCCAGAAGCGCTTCTTGGCGCCGGAGGCCGTGGGCATGGAGATGGTGTTGCCTGCGGGGCGGGGAGGGGGCGCAGGTCAGCGCCCACATGCTCGGGGCCCCGCGCCCCGCCCACCCCGTCGGGGGCCGAGCGCGCCAGCCCCGCCACCCGCCCGCCCCGTCGGGGGGGGGGGCCCGAGCGCGCCGCCACCCCCCGGCTTCCCGGGCCCTGGGGCCTCCCCGCCGCCCCTCCCCGGAGGGCCCCCCAGGCTTCCCCTCCGTCACCCGGGTCTGCCCGTGACCAGAGCCGGCGGCTCCGGGGGATGTGGCGGCCGCTCCCTGGCCAGTGGGGTGGGACGTGAGGACGCGTCCTGGTGCTAATTGAAGCTGAAGGGGGAATCTAGGTCGGCGGAGTGTAATTACCCGGGCTGGACGGGGGCCAGGACGCCGTCACGTGCCTGCCGCTAATAAGGGACGGCCGGGCTCCCCTCCCGCCGGCTAACCAGCTTCCCCGGCGGCCCGCCCGCCCGTCTGCGCCCCGCCAGCCTGCTCGCCGCGGGGACGCCCAGCGCCGGGGGCTGTTTGGGGTGTGACTCCCCGCCTGCAGCAGCACCTTCCCCTCCTGATACCAGAAGGTTCTTTGCAGTCTGAAGGTTTCCTGCCCCTAGAGGGCCGGGAGCCGGCAGCCGAGCAGCCAGGCCCACAGCAGGGGTCAGCCAGAGACGCGCCCCTCTGTACCCCAACCCCCAACCGCTGCCCTGGGCTGAAGGCGGCCAGCGCCAGGGCTGTGCCTCTGCGAGTTTCTGGAAGGCACCTCAGCCCTGACGTTGCAGAGCGAGGGGACGTGAGCCCTCTGGGGCCGCACGGGCAGCTGGGGACGCGTGGCCAACAGCGAGAGGCGTCCTCGGGTGGGCCATCCTCGTCAGCTGCTGAGATGGGGTGAGCCCCCAGGACTCCCTGGGGGTTCACCCCGCCTCACTGGCCATTTGGGGAACAGTTGCAGCCACCCATCCTCAGCAGGTGAAGGGAAGCCAAGGACTATGAGGGGGGCAGGGAGCCCTGGAGAGGCGGGTGGGTGCGGCCCGGCCCTGTCTGGTCTGACGCCACAGATCTCAGCGACAGAATGTCCCTGCACCAGGGGACCAGGGGACCCCCTGCCATTGTCCTTGGCTCGCTCAGTGCCAGGCTCAGGCACAAATGCAGCAAGAATGGAGGGGAGGAAGAGGCAGAGGGGGGCAGGGGGTCGCCTAGGGCCGGGGAGAGCAGGGCCATCCCTGAGGGCTTCCCTGGGGGTCGGAAGGGAGCCACCTCTGCCATTCAGCACTGCCTGGGGCCTGGGCCACCGACACCCCCTTCCTGCTTGGCTCCAGGAATGGGGTTTCCGGACCCTCCTCACCTGTGCAGGGCCTGGGCCCCAGCCACCTTCCCGGGAACAGCTTCTGCCCCTCCCTTGTGCCAGCTCCCAGGTGAACCCCCAAGAGCAGAAGGGACAGGCTCTGCCCTGCCGCAGGCCTCGGGGGGGCGGGGGCGGCCACAGCCATCCTGGTCAGCTGCTGAGGTGGGGTGAACCCCCGGGGAGCCCTGGCAGGCCACAGGAAAGGGTCAGGTGCTGGCCCACAGCCTCAAGGGCCGGCCGGGGCCGCAGACACTGCAGAGAAGGCGAGTGCGAGTTACCTGCGGCGTCCTGCACTAGAGGGACGTCACTTTTTACTGACGGTGGAGTGGCAGTGGCGGGCGGGAAGCTGGGTGGGCTGCTGACGGGGCGGGGCAGGCCCCTGGAGGCGCTGGGCAGAGAGTATGAGAGACAGGCCGGAGAGAAGAGGCATGGGAGGGAGGGGAGGGGCGCCCGGAGGACGGCCGGTGAGAAGGCGGGGGTCAGGGGGGGCGGTGGAGCCACGCGGGCAGCCTCGTCACCAGCGGCAGCAGGAGGAGGAGGAGGAGGAGGAGGAGGAGCCGGGCAGCCTGGAGAGGGTGGAGAAAAGCAGAAAAAAAAAAAAAACGAAAACCAAAACAAAGAACAGACAAACAATAAAGAACCAAAATGAGAAACCCAATGGCCGAGCAGGTGTGGTGTGAAAACACGTGGACAGATGAGGAGCAGAGAGGCGCCACAGAGAAGAGAGGGTGCCCAGGAGAGAGAGGCGGGCGGTGCGGGAGGGCCTGGCGGGCCGGGGAGGGCCTGGCTGGGACCCTGGCGACAAGGGCGGCAGGGCTGGTTGGCTGGGGGTGGGCACCTGCCCTGGGCCCTGGGCCCTGCTTGCCCTGCCCGCCGGCCCCATCCTGGCGGCTCTGCTGCTTTATTCTGAGCGCTCAGAGAGGACAAGCCTGGTCCTCTCCTGGAAGCTGAAGCCGAGGGCCGGGTACTGGGAGGAGGGCAAGATGGCAGAGGTGGCTTCTGTGCCCACGGCCCGAGGCCAGCTGGCCCCTGGCGGGGCCGCCTTTGAGCCACCTGACCATGAACCTCCTATCCTGACAGGGGCCCAACGGGGCTGGGCCTTGGGAGGAGGGGCCTGGCCCGTGCGAGTAGCCCCCGGAGCCCGGTGCCCGCTCCTGGCCGCGCTCACCTGCTGCGGTGCTCTCGTTGCCCACAGGGGTGCTGGAGCAGCTGCGGTCCATGGTGGACGACTCAGAGGACACGGCGCCCGGGCTGCAGCCCGTGTAGTCCATGTACTCGTCTGTCTCGGTGTCCAGCAGGCTCGGGGGGCCCTGAAAGAAAGCGGGGGACCCTGAGCAAGCTGGGCCGGGGGCCGTGCCGCCCTTGGGGACAGACTGCCGCGGAACAGGTGGCGCCTCTGTCCGCCCCAGGCGCTCACCTGGGAGGGGGGCGCGCGATCGAAGTTCTTCCCCAGCATCCTCCGCATGTGCTTCCGGGCGTGGGACGTCATCTGGTGCTTGAGCAGGAAGGAGAACTGGCAGCCCTCCCGGATGCAGTGGAAGTGGCTGTTCACTTGGTTGTACTTGCAGCCTGTGGACACAGCCCCTCGGCGTGAGCCCCCAAGCTGGCCGCTGGTCAGGGCACTACCGCCCGCGGGCACTATGCTGGGCATGGGCAAGCGTGGCCAACGAGACAGACGGTGTGTGGCAGAGGGCACTCCCCTGTGGAGGGGCTCGGACCCCTATGCCCACCCCAGTAGGTCCTAGGCCACTTGCTGTCCAGTGCCCCTCGCCTGGCACAGAGGCACCTGACAATGGCCCGTCCAGGCTCCACACACTGAGTGGTGCATGGGCTCCAGGACCCTGTGCCCGATGGCCAGCCACCACCCAGCAGGCCATTTGCCCCACATCTCCAGGAGGCTGGGGTCCCGCTGCCCCCAGACCTGGTTCAGATGCTGGCAGCCCTCCGCCCTGCCCCCACCACCCTGCTTTGCTCTGGGCTGAGAATAAATGGGGCTGGCGGATTGAAACTGTATCAGCAAAGGGCAGGTGAAGGCCTGCCCGTTGCCATGGCACCTGAGCTGGCCAGGTGTCTTATATCATCCCCCGGCTTTGTTTGGCCCAGCTACCACCAAAAACACCCAAAGTTGAGTAAATAACAGCAAGAGGGGACTACCCTGACACCTGTAAGCCGAGCCCAGGAACAGCAGAGGCCACAAGTGTTGACATCGGCTGCCATGGTTACCAGCCCTCTCCCAGGCCCTGAATTCTTTCTGAATTAACACTTGAAGGAAGGGTTTGTTTCCTTTCCTTCCTGCAGTTGACAGTGAGGATCTCCCCCGCCCCATGAGGCCTGCAGCAGGCCCCCTCTGCTCCCCCAGACGCTGCCATGCCACCTCGGCCACAATAGCCTTGCCCGCAGCCCGTCGCCCTGCTGGATCTGGCTCCCTCCTGCCCTCCAGTTTGCCGGCTCTTCCTGGGCAGATTCCAGCCCACCTCTGCAGGCCCGTGAAAATGTGGCTCCATCAAGAGGCAGGAGGGTGGGCTCTGCCCTCAGCCTGCTGGTCCTGGAGCCCCCTCCCCATTCCCAGGGCAGGCTGGGACAGGGGCGCTCCCGGGAAGCTCCTGTTCTGGGGCGGGGGGCTAAGCTCTCAGGAGCAGAGTTAACACCAAGGCATCTGCAGCCCCAGTTCAGGACCATTTGCGCACATCCTTCTGGTCACCCCGGGTCACAGATGCCCTCCATGGGCTCATAGTCCCACCAGATTCCCAGCACTGAGCCTGGGGCCGGCCACGGGAGAGCAGGAGACCCTCAAAAGGCTTAAGCTGCCATTCCTTCTACTCTCACCCCATCCACCCCCTGTAGCACGGAACCCCACACACAGCTCCTGAGCCAACGCATGAACCACGGTCCATGTCTAGTTGGAGGCGTGGAAGGAGATGCGGGAGCAGGGAGCCTGCTCTGGGAAGCCCTAGACTTATCAGCCGCCCTCCTGAAATGAACAGGAGGAGGAACTTAGTCTAGGCCTGGTCTCTGATGACAGGGCCCCAGGCGTTTGCTGGGGGGTGTGGGAGGCTCTGAGTCACCCTCACCCCTTTTTCTGGGTTCTCTGGGTATCGAGTGTTTTCCTACTTCGACAGCACGTGGCCTCTGACAGCTATGCTGTTTTTAACAAAAAATGGAGCCTCGTGTGCGAGCAAGAGGTGGGTGCCAGGAGAGGTGGCCCAGGCCGCTGGGGCTTCAGGGCCCAGCGCTGCAGCCCTGCCCACTGCTACCAGTCCCCCCATGCCCCAAGCCTGGCCGTGGGTACCTAGCCTGCCACACTCCTCACGCTTGGTGAAGTACTTGAACCCGTTGGCCGCCCGCCGCTCGGCCTTCTCGTGCTTCTTTATGTGCCACGGCAGCTTGGTGGTGATGTTGGTCACAAAGTAGCAGCCAGTCCGGAGACAGTGGTAGTGCCCGCGCATCCGGAACTCGCAGTGCTGCAGCGAAGGAAAGGCTGGGGTGACTACGTTGAGCTCCTACCTGTCCCAGGCAACTGCGCTGTGGTGGGCCCTTTGTACATATGTTTTTCCACATTCAAAATCAGGGAAACACAATCTTGTAGTGACCTTTTTTACATGTTGAGAAGCAGTATGTCTCTCGTCTCTTGACTAGAACATATTACCTGGTGTCCTTCCCATCTCTTCTAAGCCCACACTCAGAGCAGACATCACTAATCCCTCCCAGCACTCTTCTCTGACTATCTCAGACATCATTAACCTATCCAAGCACTCATCTGTCTGCCCAGATTGAAGCTCCAACTCCTGCTCAATAAGCTCTGCCAGGCAATCACTACCAGCCTTTATGGTGAATGCTGGCTCTGTCTTTCCCGTCTGGGGCATGGACAGCTCAATCTCTATCTGCCCAGTGGGCCTATTTTAAAGTTCTAGGCCATAGGGAAAGGCTTTTGCTCCCGATGGGCACAGTGATGCCAAGTGCACAGTGGCTACCCAGCACTTAGTCACCACTAATGGTTAGGGTGACACAACAGGCCTCACCAATGCACCAATCTGGAACCCTGCCCAGGGGCGCAGAGGCAGAGAGCATCCTTCCCAGAGTCTGGAGAGACCCACTTAAAACGGGCATGACAACCAGAGTCTGCCTGGAGGAGCGGACCTGGGTACTCCCCTCCCTGCCCCTCCCCAGGCCCGCCGCCTGCCGCACACTGACCTGGTTGGGACAGAGACACTGCAGGGAGTAGTACGCAAACTGATCCCGCACATTCACCAGGTTGTTGTTGGGGTTGATGTGGTCCAGGCAGTGCGACTCAGCCTTGCCAGAAGTCTTGCAGACGTACTTGCAGTTCCCAAAGAGACAGTGGAAGTGGAACTTGTTGGCATACTTGCAGTCTGTCGCCAGGCAGGGATCGCTGGAATGAAACCACAGCCCAGAAGGTCATTGGCATTCCCGTGGCCCTCCCCACCGATGTGCTGACGTTTGCTCGTGCTGGGGTTCTGCTTCCCGGTCTCCTGAGGTGGGAGATGGCCCCTCTCGCCCCACAGGACCAGTCGGCCAGAGGAGACTACAGATCCCAGCATGCTCTGCTGCCTTCTTTTGGGAACTGATGGTGCCCAGAGCACTGCATGCTGGGACACGTAGTTTCCAAGGCCACACCTCAGGATTATAGATAAGGATGCAGCAATAAACTTCTGGGATATGAAAATAAAGGATGCTGCTGCCAGCCCTGGCAGGATGCCAGCGAGGGCTTGGCGGGCCTGGCATGGGCAGTGCCCTGGACTGGCTGGTTGACAGGGTGTGGATGGGTGGGCAGCCCTCAGGGTGCTCTGCGACCAGGGGCCCTGGCCGAGGGACGTGTGCCTGGTGTAGGGTCCTTGCTGAGGCTCTCAGCCGCTGGGCCTTTGGGGTCCATGTGGGGCTTGGGGCGCCCCCCCACCCGGGGAACCTCCCCAGCCGGCCGAGTGGTGGGGTGGGCACAGGCCGCCACAGGCCAACCCCATGGCGGGTCTTCCTGGGAGCTGCAGAGCCCGGCCTCCCGGGCCCAGGCGGTGCGGTGGAGCTGGGTCCCAGCCTCTTCCTGGCGGGTGGGCGCCTGCAGCTGTCCCCGAACCGACCCCATCTGGGAAAGAAGGGGGCTGCCACTCCGGGGAGGGGAACTAGGAAGGGGAGCTGGGGGAGAGACAGAGAGGAGCGCAGGTCCCTTCCGTGCCGGCCCGGCCCCAGGAGCTCAGGAGGGAGGACAGCGGCCACTCCGGTGTGTGTTCACATCCAATTTATTGCGTTTATTGAGAACAGGAAGCCGCACACGTAACGATACAGAGTCGCCGTTCTCACCGCGAGGAGCCACCACCGTCCAGGGAGGAGGGTCCCGTCCACCCCTGAGAGCTCAGACCTCTGCGCAGGTGGCGCGGGCTCCCCTCCCCCACCCCCCCCGGGGCTGCTCGTCTGCAAAGACTCAGCCAGGGGCACGAGCCCCAGACACCAACAGGAGGCCTGGAGGGAGCTGCAGTCCCTCCGCGGGGGGCCACCGCTCGCAGCCCCCGGCCGGTCCTCGCGGAGTGGCCGCTGGCTCTGGGGCAGTGGCCGCTACCGCCGCCACCTCCCCGTGCCCCCACGGCCGCCTGCGCCGGAAGCAGCAGGGGGTCTGAGCAGCAGCATCTTTGGCTAGAAGGACATCGCCTGGCGCCGGGCGACTGTGTCCCCGAGAGGCTGGGACCGCCAGGGCTGATCGCAGGGCGAGGCGCGGGGCCTCCTGGCTGCCCTCACTAGCACCTATCCCGGGACGCGCGGCGGGCACGGGGCTCCCGGCTCATCGAGGGACTCACTTCTCCTGGAACTGGAGGAATCCGGGTTTGACCTGGGGCTTGGCGTTTTCTAGAGAAGTCGTTGCCAAGGGCGAAGTGGGCAGGTGAGGCACTGACGTTGGAATCTGAGGCATCTGGGGTATGGTGGAAGCCAGCTGCTTCCAGGCGAGCAGGGTGGGGGTGGAGGGCACCGTGGCCGGGCTGGGAGCGAGCCCCTCCAGAGAGGAAGCTGTGGCCGCGGTGACAGGAGGTGCCGGAGGGGATGAGGGGGCCAAGGAAGGTTTGGTCTCAGCGGCCGAGGCTGGGAAGGCCGCCTCTGTGTTTCCTTTCGCTGCTCCTCCCTCCGTCCGGAAGTGGAAGCTGCAAGAGGCACAAGAGTCTCAGGTGGAGTCCAGAGGGCCTGGGCAGGGCGGCCCTACCCTGGTGGGGCGCCCTGGGAGGGAGGGGTCCTGCCAGTGACCTCGTGTCCCTTCCGTGGCCCCAGCACTAGGCCCTCAGGCTCCCTGAGATGCCAACGGGAGAAAGGACGGAGAGAACTGCCGTGTCCTCTGTCCTGAGCCGAGTTGGGATCCCGGCCAGCCCCTCAGTACATCTTCCTGCTTGTGACCTTCCCGATGCTCCGGTCCCGGCAAGAGGGGAGGCTGGGGAGCAGGCCCTGGGTCCTGAAGCCCATCCTTCCAGAACCTGATCAGCGATTTCAAGGTGGGGCTCAGCACTTAAAGGTGGCGCTTCTGCAGACCAGAAGCGCGAGGAGAGGCTGGCCCGGGGCCGAGAGCAGTGCAGAGCTGCTTGAAATGTTTGCAAGTTCTGGGTTCAAGTAAAACAGGGGCTGGGCTCGCTGCTTCTCAGCTCGATGGGATTTACAAGTTAAGGCCATTATTTTTAGGTCAAAGAGAGCCTCTCCATGTACTGTGGCTTGGCAAGGCCTGCACTAGGGTCCCAGCCTCGGGTCAGAGTAGCTCCCTCCAGCGGGAAGCACCGGCGGTTGGGCAGGTGGCTGCAGCGGCCTTGGTGCCAGAGCAGCTGTGGCTCAGGTTTTCCAGGTCAAGGTGGGGTCCAGACAACCCGGCTAGGGGCTGAGCTGGTGGAGAACAGGATTTCGCCTTTTGGGAGAGCAGCACCCTCTGAGAAGAAGCAGTTTAGCTGCTGTGGCCTGGTGGGAACAGCAGGCGGGTCCACCCTGGAGGGCAGCTAGAGCCTGTGCAGCCCTCAGCCCCACCCAGCCCACAGCGGGGCTGGGACGACAGCACCCCCACCCAGCCCCCACTCACTTGGCATGCTTGATGGCCCCGTCCAAGGTGCTGAAAAGGGCGCCGCACTCCTCCACCACGCAGTGGAAGTGGGCCTTGTGAAGGAAGTCGCACTGGGCGTCGCAGAAGTCCTTGGTGCTGAACCTGGCCAGAGGGACGGGCTGGTCAGAGGGTCCCTGAGGCTCCGGTGTGGCAGGGTGGGTTGAGTGGGCACCCCCCGACCCCCGCTGTCCCCGTGAGCCCCTCACCTCCGAAGGTACACCTTCCAGGGCTCCGACAGCTTCTCCTGCACCAGCGCATTCACGGCCTTGCCAAGGAAGGGCGAGGACTCCACCGCGGGGCTCCCCTCTACTTCTGTCTTGATATTCAACAGGTTGCCGAGGTTGGGGTTGCCCTGAGACATCTGCAAGGGGGACAAAGACTTGCTTGGGGCTGGGGGCTCTCAGGACACAGATGGGCTGCCTGGGGGCAGCAGCAGCAGCTCGGCTGCCCAGGCCGTCGAAGCACCCCGACCACTGTGTGCTGGCAACAGACGAGGGAGGGAGGCCTGACCCTGCCCGGCTTTAGCACTAAAGAGTCCTCTCTGAGGGGGCGCCGCCCCAAGCCCCAGCGCTTCCAGGCTGCTCCACACCAACCCCTCACTGCTGGGACCCGTCACTCGCAGAGGCTGAGGCTGGGGCACACGCTCCAGCCCATCTTTCCCCAGACTTCTCGGCTCCCCCGTTATTTTCCTGCCAGAAGGTTTTCAAAAGAAGTGCAGGAGGAGGAGGGATGGGGGGAACCCCTACGAACTCCTTGAGAACAAGAGAAGGCGCACAAAGGAGGAGAGAAAGGGAGGCAGGGAAGCTCGAGGGGTGAGATCGAGACAGGTCTGGGGCAGGCGAGGGGGGCAGACGGGAGGGAGCCGGGGAAAGGCTGGCTGGGCCCACACGGGGTGCAAGCAGTGAGGGGTGCAGGGGGCAGGGGCCTAGACGGGAACAGAAGAGCAGGCCCGCAGAGGCAGAAGGTGAGGACACGGGCAAGAGGGCAGCGGGAGGCCCCCTCCCCACCCGGGGCCCTTTGGGGTGCCCACCCCACGGGGTCCGGACCAGGCCTGCTCCCTCCAGTCACTTGTGTACAGGAACCAAATTAATCTTGCCGTAGTCAAATTTATCATGTGAAGGGGGGAAATATATTTGAGATGATGTATAATTTACAAAGACCCTGCATTATTTAAAATAAATATTCCAGAGCGACCTCTGCGCAGGCGTCCGAGACCATTACTCAAGCCGGAAAGTGGAAATGGATGCTGGGCCCCCACGGTGGCCCTCCCCGGCCCTCCTTAAGCAAACAAAAAATATATATACAAAATAAATAAATAAAATTAATAACGAAGAGTGAGAGAAGTTGGAGGGCTCCGCGAAAGCTTCCGGAGCCCTCCATCTGAGGGGAAGAAAGGGTGTCAGAGGCTGGAATATATTTCTTCAGCCAGTTCATTAAATTAATTTGTAAGCAGTGGCTCTGAAATTATATCCGATGAAAAATGGCCTCAAAATTTAAATGGTACAAACTCATCTTATTAGAGGCAAAACATTAAAAAACAAACACATCCCCCCACCCCCCAGCGCAGCTTTAATTTCTCTGGGTGGGGGAATGCGAGGCGTGTGATGGATGGTTCTTACCTTATTCATAAGCGAGGATAAAAGAGATGAATTTGCCGGGACTGCGTGGCCATTTGATTCATTGCTGGAACACACAAACCACGGGGCTCCAGCTCGGATGTGGGGACGTGGGTCTGAGCCCACAGACGCCCCCCCCGGGGGGCGGCCCACCCACTCTCCCTGCCCGTGGGCGCGACCCCTGGCAGGAGGGGTCGGGGGTCAGCGGCATGGGCGGGGGCTGGGCTGGGGGTGCTGTACCCACAGCTCCTGCGGGGCCCGGCCTCGACTCACCTGGCCTCCTTCACCGTCAGGTCTAAACTCCGGTCCTGGGAGGCCTCGTGGGGGCCTGGGGCGCCAGAGTTCTCGCTGGGCTCCTGCTTCACCGGGGCCGGGGCGTACCTGGCAGCGGCGGCCTGTTGCCCACTGCCTGTAGGGGAGGGAGAGAAGACGGGGTTAGAGGGGCTGAGGGCTTCCTACGGGCACCGGCCGGAAGCCCCTGGAGGGCGGGCAGGGCCCCGGAGCCCCGGCTGCTGGTCAGCACGTCCCCCCACTGACATGATCGCTTGTGACGCTCGTCCCTCGGTGGCAATTCTTCAAGTGATAATTATTGCAAAATTATGTCAAAGTTGTCCTGGCTCGGGGCCTCCTGGAGGAGCAGGGCGGGAGGCTGGGGAGGGGGCCTGGGGCCGGGTGGGGGGCCCTTCATTTTCTCCACCGACTGTCACAGTCAATTTGTGGGGCTGCCGCTTAGGCTTTTATTAAAGACTCTGTTAATGCTGAGGGAAAGTGGCAGATCCAGACTGGGAGCTGCGCCCCCTCCTCGGTCCCGGCCCACTGTTGCCGGGGCGACGGCCCGGCCTTCCTCTGAGCACGCCTGGGAGGGGCAGCTGCCGTGCCAGGGCGCCGGCGGCCAATCAGAGCGGCTCAAACTCTGTGACCTCGCCCGCCCGCAAGTCGCCGGGGCAGGGATGTGAGGCCGCCTGGCCCGGGCGCGGGAGGGCGGCCGAGCCCGTGGGGTGTGGGCGCGTGGGGGGCGGCCTGGAGCCCGGCGGCCAGAGGACTCGGAGGCCCAGCGAGCGGGGCCAGAGAAGTTGCTGACAGGAACGTGTCCACCGCGCCTCTCCGCAATCCCCAAGTGACTGAAATATTAATCTGCCCCAAGGCGCTGCCGCTGACAGAGGCCCGCTGCACAGACAGCAAGTGGCATTTTATTAAAAATAAAGGAAAACGGCCCCCTCCCCTTCCCTTGACCTTTCTTTTGGGGAAAGGAGATTTTTCTCGTGAAAAGACGTCTTTGACAGCCTGGCCACCCAGCCCAAGGGGGCCCGGCCGGGGGCAAGGCCCGGGAGAGCCCCTCTGAACCCCCACATGGGAGGGGAGGTGGGTCACCCAAGCTGCCGGCGGATGCGAACCACCCCCTGTGAACAGGGCAGTGCTCAGAACTCGGAGCCCACATTCCAGCGGCTCCCCAAAGTCACTTGTGCCAAGTCGCCAGGGAGAGAGGACCCCTCACCCCTGCCAAGCGCTGGTGATTGAACCCCCCAGTCCTGCCTGGTCTGCAGCTGGTCTCGCTGGGGAGCAGGTGCGAGGGCACAGGAGCCAGGCAGCCCCTCGCCATGTGCCCAGTGAGCACCCACCCCTTCCACAGCTCCATGGGGGCTCGGGGTCCTGGCACCTGCACGGAGCCCGGCCCTCTGCAAGCGCAGCCCCCAGCAAGCACCATGCCTGGAACAGCCCGAGCCCCAGGGTGGAGCCCTTCCCTAAGATTCCACTTGGCGAGGCCCGCATCGGGGAGACAGGGAGGAGTGAGGCGACCAGAAAAAGCCAAAACCCAGAGGAAAAGGTAGAAAGGGTAGAAAGCGTGAGGAAGGAGGCTCGTCCCCCACGGTGAGCCAGAGTGGGGTGATGTGGCCCCGGGCGCTGGCCACTCTGCCAGGCCGGGCAGCTAACCTTCAGGCCACTGCAGCAGAACCCGGCCCTCCACCACGTGGCCAGCGGCCTCCGCCCCGCACAGAAGCACGAGCACACCCCGGGCGGCAGAAACTACTGGACAGCCTGGCCCCAACCAGGCGCGAATCCCCTGGGGGGCCCTCCTGTCACTAAGGGGGGGCCTCAGGGAAGCCGGGGGCTCTAGAGATGCTCCCGTTGAGTGAAAAAGGTGGGGGGCAGGTGGCTGTTCCAGGAGGCTGATAGACCAGACTATCACCCCAGTTCACAGAAGAGGAGACGGATGAGCTGCCTGAAGGGCACAGCCCAGAACGAGGGGCCCCAAGTAGGAAATACCCAGGATGGGGAGCAGGGGATTGGGGTGCCTCTTCCGAACATCCTCCTCCCCCAGCTCTGGGCTGTGACCTGAGGACAGAGGGCCCGGGGGGTCTGCATGGGGCTGGCCTCCCAGCCGGGCCCAGTCTGCTCACCTGGGTCAAAGGTGGCAGAGGGCTTGAGGGCGGCTGCGGCCAGCCTGGCCATCATGGGCGAGATGAGGCCCTTGCTGGCAGACATCCTCTCCATGATGGAGGCAGGGGGCACCGGGAGGGAGGCGGCGGCAGATGCCGAGTCGCCGGCTCCAGAGGCGGCCAGAGCGGGCGTGTCGGGGTTGGCCGAGGCTGCCGGCCCGGATGACATGGCACCCATGAGGCTGGGGGCGCCCACGGGCAGGGAGGCGCTGCCCCGGCCGGGAAGGATGGGGAAGTAGGGTGAAGCGGGGGGCAGGCCCGAGTTGGAGAGGGCCAGTGCCAGGGGGATGGAGCTGGGCAGGCCCTGGGGCAGCAGCCCGGGCAGCTTGCTGTTGGGGGGCTTGGTGGCGCTGGGCACGGCCTCGGTGGCAGCCAGGGAGGCGGAGGACTGCTGGCTGGTGGGGGAGGCGCTCAGGCTGGAGTTCTTGCTGCTCAGGGCAGAGAAGTCGACCAGGTCGTCGTTGCTGGACTCCTCCTGCTCCGTGTCCTTGGCGCCCAGCAGCGAGGGCGGCAGCCCCAGCACCCCCGAGGACCGGACGTGCCTGCGCTCGTGCTTGCGCTTGTGCGAGGTCATCTGGCTGGTGGAGGTGAAGGTGAAGCCGCAGCCGGCGCGGATGCAGTGGAAGTGGTTGGTGGCCTTGCTGTACACGCAGCCCTCGTACTTGCATTCTTCGTACTTGTAGAACTTCTTGAAGCCGTCCTTGGCATAGGCGTCGTCCTTGATGTGGTAGCTCTTGTGCTTCTCGATGTCACACTTGTTCTTGAAGGTGAAGGTGCAGCCGGGGCGCCTGGATGGGATGGGGGAGGCTGTCACGGGGCCCCTGGGGGAGGAGGCCCTGCCCCGCTCCCAGGGGACCCCGGGAGGGAAGGGCCCCCAGAGAGGAGACCAGGCTGGACACCAGGGACCCCCGCCCCGGAAGAGCTGCCTGCCGCCCCGCTCACCTGCAGTGGAAGTGCGTGGTCTTCTGCCCGTAGAACTGGCAGTCGGCTGTGCCACAGTCCTCGGTGGCCCGGAAGCGCTGGAAGCCATCATTGATGAGCTGAGTGTTCTTCTTGTGGAAGTTCTCGTGGGTCATCACGTCCGACGTACTCGTGTACACCTTGTTGCAGCCCACCTGTGGAGCCAGACCAGTGGTCAGGGCAATGCGGGGTGGGCACCCCTGGCACGGGGTCACGGCTGCCGGCCCGCGGGGGCCTGGCACCTGCCAGCCACCCAAGTGGGGCAGCTGAGAAGGTGCACCCAGGCGCCCAGGAGGAAGCCTCCACCCGGCCCCAGGACCAGGGTGGTCTGGTGCTCCAGGGCCGGTGGTCTTCAGGTGCCCTGGCCTTGCCGCTCAGGCGCAGGAGCCCCGTCCTGCAGGAGGTGGTTTGGACTCACACCTGTGGTGCTACCTGGGAACCCCTGGGGTGGGCAGGGGCCAGCCCTAGGGCCTGGCGGTCATCTTCAGCCCAGTGACTCGGTGAGCGGACAGTTCCTGGCATGAGGCCCGCCTCACCCCACCCTGGCTGGGCCTGGGCAGGCAACGTTGCCATATTGAGTAAAAACCGGTGGAATCTGAAAACCCCTGAGGTCCGCGCTGTGCCAGTGTCTGCACCATCTCAGAGCCCACAGAGCAGCCCCCCTCGCCTCCGGGCCCAGGTTGTTTCACGGAGGCCCTAACAACCCCCTACAAATACCGGGGGAGGCACGGCGGCTGCTCCCCCGGGACCTGACACCTTGAAAAAGCCCAGACTCTGCGTGGCATTAAAACAAAGAATCAAACAAAAACCTCCTCAGGAACCACTTGCAATGCTGCTCTTGGTGTTAAAGCCTGAAAAATGTCGGTCTGTATAAACAGCTCGCTGAATTTCACCCACACCAAGTATGGCCATGGGGAGAGCCCCACCCTGGCCCACCGGCCCGCTGTGCTCAGGCTGAGCCCCCAGCCCGGGGTCCACCCTCGCTGGCCCGGTCCCAGAACCAGAGCAGAGGGTCCTATCTCCCCGCCCCCATGCCTGGGTGGTGGCTTGGGTAGAGGCCTGGGGCGGCAGGCCAAGGCCTGGGGGGTCCGGGGTGGTGGGCTGGGGCACCTGCATGCAGTGGTAGTGGGTGCTCTTCCCGTTGAGGTGGCAGCCATGGTAGTAGACGCTGCAGTCGTCCAGCGGGCTGAAGCGCATGAAGCCGTGCTGCAGGGAGTTGTCGCGCTTCTTGTGCATGTTGTAGTGCCGGATCACGTCCTGCTTGCTGGTGAACCTCTGCGGGAGAGCACCGGGTTGGCAGGAGACCGACCGCCCGCGCACCAAGAGCATGGGGCCAGATGCCAGCCCCCCAGGCCTCCCTAAGTAACCCTGTTTGGGGTCGAGGCAGCCCGGCCTGCCCCCAGGCCAGCATGGTGGGCCTTGGAGGGAACAGCTGGGAAGGTTCCAGAACCAAAGACCCTTCCCTGACCTCCCAACAGTCGTGTCCAGGACGATGGAAGATGAAGGCAGGGGCTCTGGTGGGTGACGGTGCGTTCTGCCTGTGCCACCTCAGCTCTGCCAGGCTGGGGTCCCTGGAGGCCGCCCACGCTCCCGTCTCATTCACCAGCCCTGCTCTCACCAGCAGGCAGCTTGGAATGTAAGTGACCATCTACCAGAGCCTGAAGGTTCTCGTCCATAACCAACCGCATACGTAGAGCCCCGGAAAGAGCCCGTCAGACTCAGACACGGCAGCGGCACTTCTGGCACCACCCTTGGGCCCCAATGCATCAGCTCCCCAGGGTGAAGGTGGCTGCAGGCCCCACTGTGTCCCATGGCAGGGACCTGGGCGCTAGGGCAGGCTGGTAGTTTCTCCTGACTCTGCCCAAGTTCAGGAGGCCCAAGCAGAAGCGAGCGCCCGTTGGCGGCCGGCTGCGGGCGTACCTGGTAGTTGCACTCGGGGTCCAGGCAGTGGTAGTGCTCGCGGTACTGGTAGGCGCAGTGGATGTGGCCACAGTGCTGGCTGCCCGAGAACCTGCACGGAGGAGGGTGGCTCAGGCCCCGATGCCACAGCCCAGGAAAGGCTGCTGGGGTGCAGGGGTGCTGGGTGGGGATGCGGAGGGGCACGGGAGCTGCAGGGGTGAAGTCGTACAGCCCTGGGAGGGCCTGGGAGGGCCTGGGCCCACTGGGGCTCGCAGGCTACTAAGCCGCAGACCCGTCCTTCCTGCCTTGGGAGGCAGCGCCAGCCTGGGGGCCGGCCCCGGGGAGCAGGGTAAGCGGGGCCAGCCACAGCTCAGAGCAGAGGCAGGGAAGAGGCGGGGGGTGGGGGGGTCGGGCAGGCTGGTGAGGGCCTCCACCTCCCCAGGTGGCCCTGCTCCTCTTTCTGCAGGTGCCGCCCCCCCCCCCCAGCGCCGGACCCTGGCCTTGCCAGCCCTGGACTCTGTTGCTGGGAGGTGTTAAAGGGCTCGCTCCATCCTGGGCTTTCCTGACACTTGAAACAGTCCAGAGTCATGAATTTTTAAAGCACGGCCTGCTTGGCTCCCGCGGCAGGGAGCTCTCTCCGCCAGGGGCCCGGTGCCACCGGCCCGCCGTGTCCCGCGACTTCCCCGGCCTGATGTGGCCTGGCCGGGAGGTGGTTCTCACAGCCGGGGGATGGAGCCCCGGGCCCCCCCGGCAGGGAGGGTGGTGGCCAGCCTGCCCTGCGAAAGATGGGGTGGGCTTGGGAGAGAGGGAGAAACCCCCTTGCAAGAGGGAGAACCGCTTGCAAATAAATATTTAAGCTGAAGCTGCCAAAAGGGCCATCTGCTGAGGCACTAATAATGATGATAATAATAATAATAAAGAGAGCAGAGCAAAGCTGAGAGACGGAGAGGGACGGGGGAGGCGGCCACGGCGGCCACGGCAGAATCGGGAGCATCAGCAGAAAGACAGATTCCGGGGCCCGGCTGCCCCCTCGGCCAGGCAGGATTTGGGGGCACTGGTGGCGGTGGAGGTGCTTGACCTGCCTGTCCCACTGCCCCCGGCGGTAAAGGGGCAGCTGGGCCTGCACTCAGACGGCGAGGGTCACACAGGACCACGCCCTCCCTGATGTCCCCGATACTCCCCGTGGCCTGCAGCACCCCGGCTCCACGCGGGCGAGCTGGGGAGGGGGCCCAGCACCCAAGTGCCACTGCGTACCCCCTGGCACCCCGGCCCTGCCTGGGGCATAGTCTGGTGATGTGCCCGGACCACATCACAGGAGTGGAGTGTGGGGTGCCACGGGACAGTCCCTCGGGGACATGGGGGCAGAACTGCGTGGGGGTGGGGCGCAGTCAGATGGACATGGTCTTAGCAGTCCCCGGGCCCGCCCGGCGCCCCCCACCTTCTCCCCACAGCAGCCGCCTCCCCAGGGGCCTACCTGGCAATATATTTCTGGTAAATGTTTACATCTTCGGTGACAGCTGGTTTATCTGTGGGCAGTCCGTTCCTGGCGAGAGACACACGGGGCACAGCCGATTAGCCGACCAGGGCCTCATGCCCCAGGAGCGTCGGGGGTGCAGCTCCCCGCCCTGGGGCCTGGCCCTTCTCTCCCTCGCTCTGTAGTGTTCTGAGGTGCTCAGGACGGGACCAAGAAGCCCGTGGGCAGAGTTAGCCCAACTCCAGCCAGGGAGGACTCCACTTGGGCACAGGCCTACAGTCCAACGGGGCAGGAAGCCTTGGAAACGGGGGGCCTGGCCCCGCCCTCCCAGCCCCCCACGAGTCAGGAGGCTGCTGGCTGAGAGGGGGAGCAGGGGCCGCCGAAGGCCACCCCCTAGACCCGCACCCAGGTTCCTGGCCATGCCTCCAGGTCCACAGGGAAGGGCTGTGGGGACCCAGCCCTCATTTCGCCACTGCCCGGAGGGTCTTTCTGAGCATGCCCACCCCACCCGGCCTCCTGCCTTCTCTCCCCGCCTTCCCCAGGGCCCGGGCTCTGACCCAGGAGCCACGGTCACCAGCATGGACGCCAGAGGCCCAGGTCAAAGTCGGGTCAGAAATGCTAGGGCAGCCAACAGGCCCCCGGGGCCCTGTGGTGTGTGTGTCAGGGGAGCGGCACGGAAGGGCGTGGCGGCCATCGCGTGTGCCCCGGCAGGACGTCAGAGCTGGGCCACGCGTGGCGGGCGCGCCGTCTGCCGCAGGAGTGCGTGTGCCAGCGGGAGCGCGTGCAAGTGTGGAAGCACATGCACGGGAGACCCGGCACGCAGGGCCTGGTGCGGAAGGACGTGCAGGAGGTGTGCGGCGGGAGCGTGTCCGCAAGCGTGAGCCCCCGAGGCACGGAGGGCGGCCCCCGGCCTCCTCCGGTGGGCGCAGCCGCCGCGGGCTGGGGAGGGGCTTACTTGACAGTGGAGACGGTCCCCGTGGTGATAGAGTCTGTTTTGGAGAAGGTGGACTTGAGATACTCGGGAGCGTTGAAAGGCAGGGAGGCAGGAGGCTCGGGCCCCGGGGCGCTGGGGGCGCTGGGCACGCTGGCGAGGGGTGCGGGGGCCAGGCTGGGGGCGGGCGGGACCTTGGCGGGGCCCGGCTTCTGGATGGCCCGGACGTCGTACTTGGAGGGGCGCCCCACCTTGCCGGTCTTGAAGGCGATGGCGCCGCCCATGTCGGGGCTGCCCTCCCCGGGCTTGAAGAGGTGCAGGTACTTGACGTTCTCCAGGTCGTACTTGGACGGCTTCTTGTAGGTGCTCCCGTTCTGGGGCCGCGGGCTCTCGCCGGTCTTCAGCTTCTGGATGAAGAAGTCGTACTTGGAGGCGCGGGCCACCAGGCCCTGCATGGGGACGGAGCTGTGCGAGGGCAGGGGCAGGATGGTGGCCTTGGTCTCCAGGTGCGCGGTGCTGCTGGGCAGCCGCAGGCCGGGCAGGGGGCCCAGGGCGTCCTTGCCGGCCCGCTCCTCGGCCTTGGCGCCGTGGGCCGGCCAGGAGAGCTGCTCGCCGGCCTTGAGCTTGCGGATGTACTCCTCGTACTTGGAGAACCGCGCCCGCTTGCTGAGGGCGTCCTCGGAGCCAGGCAGCGCGCAGGCGGCGGCCGCCTCGGGGGTGGCGCCCGCGTGCAGCTTCTCGAAGCTGATCTTCCGGGCCAGCTCGTCCCGCGTGTTCTGGTCGTCGTAGCCGAACATGCCGAGGAACTCGGTCATGGTGGAGGCCGCGTAGTCCCGCAGCGAGGAGGCCTCTCCTGCGGGGGAGGGGAGGGGCGTCACCTCTGGGAGGGGCAGGACAGCCCAGGGACGGGAGCCCCCCGCCCGCGAGCCCCCCACAGAGGGAGGGGGCGGAGCAGGACATGATCTATGGACATTTGGCTCACTTGTTAGGTTTTACGACTCTTAAATTAATTTGTTTAAAAAAAAAGTAATTAATACTGGGGTAAAATAAAACGAGTTCATCAATGCCAGGAAAATCAATTTCCTAAATGTTCTGGCCGATGGCTTTTCAGTACATTAAACAAAGTTTCATAAATGTCTCCGCGCTCTCGCCTGGGCCTAATATGAAAGAGAAGTCATTTTACTGGAAGTGAGACGCAGCCTGGCCTGCCTCCGGGGCGGGGGTGAGGACGGGGCCGGGACAGGTGGAGGCGCTGGCCAGAGGCTGGGCGGTGTCGGGTGGGACCCGGGGCGGAGGGGCCAGGGGCGGAGCCGGCAGAACCTACCTGGAGGGCCCTCCCTGACTCCCCCAAATGGACACGCAGGCCCCTTATCCTGGGAAGGCGGGGGCTCACCTCAGGGCTCCCCAGGTCCCAGGAGGCCCACTGTCTCAGACAGCAGAACTCCCTAGGCCCCTGCCCCACAAGGCCTCTGACAGGGAGTCCTTCCACGTTCCCGTCACGCTCTGCTCACTCGCGCTCAGCACAGGGTGGGCGCCCCGAGGAGCGTCAGGACGGGGGAGGCTGGATTCACCTGTGTCCACCCTAAGAACCTGTGCTCATTCCCACACGTGCACACTTGTGCACGCACAAGCAAAGCTTCGAAGCTCACATCCCCCAGTTGCCTTCCTGCCTACACACATACACACACACACACACACACACACACGCACATGCGCGTGCGCTGCCCCACCCACTCCTGGAGCTGAGTCTGGACTGGACCACAGGCAACATGAGCCCCTTCTGCTTGGCTTTTCTCTAGAGTCTCCTCCCCTCCTGCCCCACCATTCACAGCACCTCATTCCTGCTCTGGACGCGGCTAAACACCTACTGTGTGCTGTGTCCTGAGTCAGGTGGGTGCACACTGGGGGGACAGACCCTTTCCCAAACAGCGCGCCCAGGTACACCCCGCCGCAGGGCCCCAGACAGGGGGCACCCCACAGCCCAGCCAGGGGAAGCAGCAGGTGGGGGAGGGTCTCCTTCCCACTCCCACCCAACCTGCCCGGTCTGGGATTCTCAGGCCACACCTGGAAGTGGCCCGGGTGGGCAGGGCTGGGCCTGGGCACCGGAGGAGCAAGGGAGGAAGCTCCAGCAGGGTGTGGAGCAGCTCTGAGCTCCTGGGGGGGGGGGCAGCACTCCTGGGGGGGGCTGGACCCCACTAGGTGGGGAGGGGTAGTCACAGGCACACATGGCACCAGGTAGGCAGTCGCTCAAGGAGCCCACGGGCAGCTGTTCCCCTGGGGTGGGGGCGGGGTGCTGTCTTGAACTCAGGCCACACAGGGTTGGGGGCCTGGCTGGGAGGAGTGGGCTCTGGCTGCTAGATGCAGTGGCTCAGGGACCAGGGAAAGGGGCTAAAAATAGCTGGAGGCAGCTGAGCCCTCGCTATATATGGCAGAGAAACAGAAGGCTTTGAAGGGCAGGCGGCTGAGAGCAGGGAGGGGGCCAGGCGGGGTCCTGGGGGCAGCCCAGGGGCTGCATTCCTGAGCCCCTGGGCCCAGAGAAGGTGGCCTGGTGGCTGGGCCCAGCTGGGGCTCCGGCTGGCTCTCTGCGGCGCCCAGGGCCTGGCAGGCCCTCCCAGGTGGCCACTGCAGTCCCAGGGGGCCTCACACCAGGGGCGTGGCCGGGGGCACGAGGCCCGGGGAGTTCTGGGCCTGTCTCCTGGGCAGCTGCTCCACTGCCCTCAGCTTGGAGCGGAGCTGGGCATGGGAGGGCCGGGGCCTGGAGGGACAGCGGCCCTGGTCCCTGCTCCTCCCTCTCGTCGGGCCCAGCACAATCACCTTGTGTCTGGAACCGGCAAGGGCTTTTCCTATCAGAGGAAACTGAAGGTCACACTTTTCCTCATTGATCTTGCAATGTTTGTTAATTACTCTGTCACTGATGTGGCGAAGGATAATTAAACAGCTCTGTTTATATCTTATATGCATAATTATGTGGCTGCGCAGGGCTCCCCGCGCTGGGAGGAGATGTGCCCCTCGCTGCGGGGGAAGGGGATAGGGGAGCCGGCAGGGGAGGGCACCAGGCACAGGTCTGGGAAGCAGGCGGGGAGCTGAGGGAAGACCCCAGACCCTGAGGCGCCAGTCCTGGGGTGAGCCCCTCCCTCCCAGGGCCCTCCCTCCCCGGAGCAGACAGAGACTGGGTTGTCAGGACCAGAGACCCCAGGAAAGCTGGGGCTGAGCCATGGCTTGGAGAGGTCAGCCAGAGGGCGTGTCAGGGCAGTGGGTGGTGACAGGGCCGTGCAGCTGGGCCCCGAGAGGTCCTGCCCGGGAGAGCCAGTGTCCCTGGGAGAAGGCAGGCGAGGGGGAGCCTGGCCTAGCCTGGAGGTTTCGGAGAAAGTACCCCAAGAAGCCTGAGAAGCATCCTTAGCAACGAGCGCCTGCGGTTCCTGAGGCCACTGCCCCGACCACGCATGTCTGAGGACTGAGACCCCCAGGCGGGTGTGGACCTGCCTCTACCCTCTGCCCTCTCTGCCCTCTGCCCGCCTGCTGCTCCAAGCACCCACATGTGGGTCAGCCCCGGCCCTGCCCACTGCCTGCCCGGGCTTGGGAGGTGCCAACGATCGCAGCAAGAGTGAGCACTGCCCGAGGACCCGGCAGATCATCCGCCCTCCCCACAGGACCCCCGCGGGGGGCATCCTGTCCCAGGCTCAGGCACCTACCTGCAGCCTGCTTGGTGCTGGGGGCACCGTCATCCTTGGCGGCGGCCCCGTCCGCGTCCTTCTCCTCCGCGGCGCTGCCCTCCTTGGCAGGCTCCTGGCCGTGGTCCTCCTCATCGCTGCAGCCCTGGGGTTGCACCATGTAGACGCCCTCGGGCGGCAGCTCCAGGGCCTCCCGGGCCAGGCGCCCCAACACAGGCGTGGGTGCCGGCTCCTCGCTGTACTCCCCGTTCACCCACTTCTCGATCACTGCCCGCCTCTTGTCTTCCTCGCTCCGGGGTGCCCGGGCCGCCCCCGCCTCGGGGCCACTGCGTTCCTTGTCCCGGGGCCGCAGGGGGCTGCCCTCCGCCTGGGCGCCGGCCTCGGCCCCCTTCTCCACCACCACCTGGCGGCTCAGCTTGGCGCAGATGGCGTTGAGCTTCAGGCCGCCTTTGCGCTTGGCCGCCATGGCCGGCTTGCCTGCGGGCGGGTCGGTGCACCGGGTGCCTTCAGCTGCAGGGGGAGGAGACGGGTCAGAGGCGTGTGCTGGTCCCCCACCTCACCCCTGCTGAGCCTCCGCCCTGCACCCCGCGAGCCCCAGGTCTTCCCCGTCACGGCGCCATCACGCTGCCCGGCCCGCGGCTGTCCTCTCGTTGGACTGGGAGCTCTGGGGACCCGGCTTGCCCGCCGCTCCATCCCCAGCCGGGCACCCAGCCGGCCACGCACGAGGCGGCTCACGAAATGCTTGGGAAGTGAACACGGGGACGGGTGACTCCTCAGTCACCAGGCCAAGCCTCGCCCAGCCCCAGTCCCGGCAACGTCTCACACCTGCTTGACCCGAGCTACCTCCGCTGAGGGGGCGGGTCAAGCCCCGGTCCCGGGTGGCTGTGCGCCCCCGGACATGCGAGGACGTGGACACAGGAGCTAAGAAGGAGCGGGCTGTGGGCAAAGCTCATGAGTGACAGTGGCCTGACTCGCCTGTGGGCGTCTGTCCTGCCCCTGGGGGACGGGCAAGAGCCAGGAGCGGCCATGACAACTTTGACTTCCCTGCCCACCATGCCGGCCGATGCCCTCCCCCCCTCGGCCACGCATCCCTGCAGCTCCCTTGCCAGGCTGCTCCCAGGGCCTCGTCAGACTTTCTAGGCTCCGCTGGCCATTTCCTACCCCTCCACCCCATTCCCCAAGCCTTGTCCAAGGGCAGTGCCCCACAACCCCTCTGAGGGCCCCTGCCCGTCAGAGGATGGGACCTCACCAGGCCCCTGCTGCTCCTGGGGCCCCGGGGGTCCCCGAAGGCTGCAGTGGAAACAGGCTGGGCCTCCTCGGGCCTCCCCTGGCAAGCTCCAGGGCTAATCCCTGCATGAGGCAGCAGGACTCGGACAGCCGGGAGCTCCAGGACGCCTGAGGGCTGCGGAGCCACGAAGGCCAACGGGGTGGACACACGTGCACACAGTCATTTGTCTGTCTGTCCCTCTGCTCATCCAGTTAGGAGGCTCCAGACCCTGCGGTGGAAGCCGACGTGGGCAGTGGCCACAGCAGACGTGGTCTGAGGGCACCCTCGGGGGTGGGAACCCCCCTCAGAGCTTCTGAAGCAGGGCTCCCCGACGCACCCCTCGCGAGTGGGCAGGGTCTCTGTGTATCGGAAGCCAGGCAAGGGCAGGGGCTCACCCAGGTCTTCCCAGGTCCAAAGTCAGGGGCTTCGCGGGAAGGGATCAACGCCCTAAAACCCACATGCTCAGGGACCCCCGAGAGGCATGCAGGCAGGACGGCCGCCCCTGTGCCCGCCAGTGAGCTCAGCCCCAAGCAGACTCAGCTGTACACCAAGCTCCTGGGTGCCGGTGAGGCCCAGACTCTTGCCCCAAAGGGGCCGCTGGAGAAGGGCCTCCAGCCCTGCACCAGGGGAAGGCCTGCCCAGCTCGCTCCCAGGCCTGCGGCCCTGGCTCTGCCGGACCTACCCTGCCCCAGCCGGAAGCCCATGGACCCACGTCTGTCCGTGTCTCCAAGTCTGTGCTGCCCACACCCAAGTCTCCAGGGACTGCCATGGGGTTCTAGCTCCAAGCTCAGTGGGGCTCTCTCATCACACCACCCCAACCAGCCTCATGGCCAGCTGCCCAACTCCAGGGTCCCCCGCAGGTCTGTGGGGAGCAGGCCTCACCTGCGGTCCCCTTTGTCCCTGCCACGGTGGGGGAGGGGAGGGTGGGCGTGGGGGCAGCCTGATCTATTTTTACCAGGAGGTAAGCAGCCAAGTGTGTATGGCAGACGGCAAATGAATCTATAAATATTTATCCCAAGGAAGGGGGAGGCAGAGCTCCCCGGGCTGCACTTGCTGCTGGTGGCACCCCCTTGCTGGGCCCCCACCCATCCTGGAGCCTCCTGCCGCTCGGGCCCACCCAGCCCAGCCTACCCTCTCCCGCTCACGGCCGTGTGCCTGGCTCAGTTCCTCCTGGGCCCCCGACAGCTGTGATGCAGCTGTGCACCCAGGGCCCACCCCCAGCCCACGGCCCCTGTGCTCCGCCCACGCCCCCTACACCTGCCCTCCAGCTGCTGCTCGCCCCCGCCCACCTGCCTTCCAGATGTTGCCCTCCCTCTGACTCTACTCCTGCTCCCTGGGGTGGAGGGGAGAAGGCGGCGGGACCCGGGGAGCAGGAACGGGAATGCGTGCGAGGTGGGCGGTGGGCCAGCTGAGGTCCCAGTTGCCTGCCCACCCCCTTCCGGCCCGCCCTGTGGGCCTTTCTCTCCAGCCCCCCAAGGCCCTGGGACCCTCAGACTACCCCCCTCGTAGTCTGACCCCAGGCTCCCGTCCATGTAAACATTCCCCTGACTTTCTTCCCTAAAACATAAACGCCGTGGCCAGGCCTCAATGGCAGGAAGCCATCCGTCCCCGGCCCTGTCACTGCCCCTTTCATCTCCTTCCCGCCACCAGCCTGCCCGCTGCTCTATTTACACTGGACACTTCCTCTGGGAACAATACTGCCCAGGAGGCAGGCTGAGCCGGAGGGTGGGAAGGCGAGGGGAGTCCTGTGCGCTCGCCCAGGGACAGCCCTCCCAGGCTCCAGCCTCCGGCCCAGCACGCCAGGCTGGGGAGCTCCGGGCAGGGGGAGAGCCCCGGTGCAATGGCCTGGGCCCTGGGGTCAGGGCCTGTGAGCTCATGACCTGCCCTTCCCTCGCCAGCTCTCTCCTGCAGGACTGCAGGGGAGAGGGCATCTGTGTGCCCGGCGCAGGGCCCGACATGCAGGGCCTGGGAGGGTACGGACAGCATGGCACACACGTGGGCACAAGCTGCCAAGGCTAGGAAGACTTGCTGAGGCAGAGAGGAGCAGGATCGGAGGGGCAGCGGGAGGCTGGGCTAGGAGATGGTGCCCACTCAGCGGTCCCCGTCCAGGGTCGGAACCTGCTCTCTCAGGGCCTCTGCATCAAGCCCTCAGCTGGCGGCTGGTCCCAGAGCTTGGGGTGGAGACAGGAGGGCAGAACCCGCCTGTCCACACACCTTCCCGGCACTCAGGCCATTCTGCCGCGGCCCAGAGAAGCAGGTGCCGTCCCTGCCCCGCCTGGCGAGGACACTGGTCTTGGAGCGCGAGGACAGCCGGGGCCCAGCTCCCTAAGCGGCCCAGCCGGGCGTGTGGAGGGCCCCTTTCCACCCCTGCCCCCCCTCCCCTCCCCCGCGGTTCCCATAACACAGAGCCCCCTAAAGTGTTAACTGCGATGGGTAAAATGGTGCAGCAGATTGCTACAATAAATAATTTACTGATATTTATAAATATTCAAATCAGCCAGCTTCAGAAATCGAATGAAGGGAGGGCCTCGGGAGAAGGGCCCCGGTACGGCAGGGAGCTCATCACCCCACCAGAGGCTGGGAAGGCCAGGGCTCCTGCCAGATCTGGGGGAGAGGGGGAGCTCTGCAGCTGCACCTGGGCCCCTGGGACAAGGGCTGGGGTCCTGGAGCAAAGGCAGCGCCTCCCTGCCTGGCCAGCGCTCCCTGCCCTGGGGGCCTGAGGCCCGGGCACCCGCCACCCAGGGCCTGGGTCTGGCAGTGTTTGTCTGGCCTGGGGCAGTGGGGTGGGGGAGCTGGTCCCCCAGGGCTGGGCATGCCTGGCAGCCCCTCCCCAGCCGTGAGTAATGTGTTTCGGGGCCGGGCGGCCTGTCAGCTACCAGGATCCGGGTGCTTTATGGGCTCTGCCTGGTGGCTCTGAAGTCCCTGGTAGGAAATAAAGTTCTCCCTGCGCGTCCCTTCTAAACATTTCACTCAGTGGAAACGGTGTTTAAGAAAAATGAGGACATATTTCTTCCTAAGGATGCAGTGTCCCCTTTGGGCGGCCTAATGCCCGCGGTATATCAGCCGGCGGTGAGGCAGGGGCCAGCCCCGGTCCCCTGGGGAGCGGGGGTCTGGGGCCCACTGGCCTGTGGCTGGACACTCAGGGACCACTGCCGGGCCACGGTGGCGGCTGCCCTGGCCCGTGGCACCTGGAGTGGGACCCGGTGGCTGGCACCCCTGAGCGCCTCCTGTGTCCCAGCCGTGCCAGCGTGAACCAGCATGGTCCCCAGACCCCCCAGCACAGCCATGTCCTGTCCCCATGTCCAGATGTGGACGCAGAGCCTAGCACAGGCGGTAACTGCCCACAGTCACCCACCCAGTGTCAGAACTGGAACTGGATTCCCACCGGGCTTTGACGTCCAAGGTCACGTCTGAATCCCACACACCTCTCCCACCGCCTCCCCACCAGGATGGCGAGAGTGCCAGCCTCCACCCTGCCAGCCCGGAGAACTTGAACCTGACAGGGCCAAGGGTGCTCAACTCCCTCAAGCACCTTCCACAGGCAGCCCCAGCTGAGTCCTGGAGAAACACCTGAGCAAGACACGCAGCCCTGGTCCTGCCATCGCCCGCTGTCCTTTCCAGGGGCAGCCGGGGGGCCATCACCGTGCAAACAGTACAGGTGCCAGGAGGGTGAGTCTGGAAGCAGGGGGGCCCTGCTCCCCCAGGAGCTCCCTCGCTGGCTCCCCCACACCAGCAGCCTCTCCTCCTGGTGGCACAGCTCACCTCTAACTCCACGGCTCCCCCCCCAGCTCCAAGAGAGGGGTGTCCTTTCCTCTCGGTTCGGAACAGAAGGGTTGCCGGGGCTCTGTGGGCGGCAGTGGCCACTGCTCCCCTCGGTTCTCAGCCGGGCCCTTGGACCCTAACAGCCCCCGGCCGGGAAATCGGGGGACCTGGTCGCCAGGCCCTCCTTGCTCCCCTTTGTTTATTTATTTATTATGATTTTTTAGTCCAGTTAAAAGGTTTACTATCCAGACGCGTCTAAGTGGCCTCACTTAGCGTAAGTAACTCTATAAATCAGGGGAACTGTTAGCATCCAGCGCGCAGGCTGGCTATCAATCTCCCCCAGGTCACAGCCCAACAGGAAGGGGAGAAAAAAGAGTTACCACCCAGGGGAGATCTGACACATTCGCGCACACAGGGCGCGCACACGCACACACCTGGCATCTCCGCGCCGGTACCCCAGGGTATGTCCACCCTGGGCCTG